TGAAAATAAGAATCATGTATAGACACTCGATTATAAAGGCTATATGGGTTACAGGACTCCAAAGCACCTTATAAATTTCCTAAAAGTTTGAGTTATATACCATGCACTGTTAGTGCTAACTGAATTTTACTGTTTTTCAAATAAGGTGATGGTCTTACTGAATATTATATTGCTAGGTCAATGAGAATGTTCTAAAAATCAGATCATTTTATTCCTCAATCACACGGCCTAAAGAGAGAGTTTAGCCTCATACTTCTAAATGACTTCATGCCATTAAATTACCTTGGGAGTTGCTGTTTTAAAAAGAAGCTCTCTTTCTATGAAACTGGGTTTTTAAATTTTGTTTGTTCATTTGTGGGATTTTTTTTTATACTCTACATATAAGTGAAACCATATGATGTTTGTCTTTCTCTGTCTGACTTATTTCCCTGAGCATAATGCCTGCTGAAGGGGAACGCAGTAGGTAACATTGTGATAAGTTTACACGGCGACCCATGACTACTGGAATTAAAAATGTCAAATCGCTATACTGTAGACCTAAAACTAGTATGACTAATGTAACATCGTGTACCCACTGTACTTAAGGTAAAAACACTTTCTGGATAGTCTGACCTGTCAGACTGAGCGCTCCTTTACCCTTCACTTTGAACCTCAGTGGCTCTCCAGCTGCGTGAAAGCTGCTTCTCCGATCTGCCCGCCTGCGGTTCAGCTACAGCGAAGGCGGGGCACCAGGCTTTATTCCGGGACTGTGCGCGCCTCCAGTCTCTCCCTGGAGGTTAGGGCTTCCTTTATTCTTCCATGTCATAGGGGTGGGACAGATACTCATGGAGAGCTAAGTAATTTGCTCGCACATGAAAAGGTCACACAAAAGAAAATCAGAGACAGACCTGACAGTTTCCAGTGCCCACTTCCTGCCTGGCCCGCGGGAGACAGCGGCCCTCCTCAGCTCGCGCTCTGCCTCTCCTACGTGCTGCCCGTGGTGACCGGCTCTAATCTCCCTTCACATCCACCTCGCACTCTGATGGCAAGCTGACATCCCACAGATGAGTTTAGGGGAAACTTTTTAAAGCTAAACAGAAACCTTCAGACGTTTTACAAATAAAATTAAGCGTTTAGTAGTGACACATGTTATTAACATTTATCAATTACCTTTCGAATGGACCCAGCAAAAAATGTCCCAGCAATGGCCTGTATCTATGCCGCAGTCATAGAGAACTCATTATGTAGATAGGGAATGAAAAGAAATACTGAGATAAGGGAACTGCTTTCATGCGCGTACACACACACACACACACACACACACACACACACACACCCTGTTATCATGTGTACTTTGCAAAACACCTGCATATCTTCAAGGCTTTCAACAGCTTTACTGTGTCATGTACTCCACCCAGAGATTTAGTTTGGTTTTGAGAGTCCTCATAATGAGTGAAATTGGCAGTCATCAAGTTAAGAAAAAAATAATAAGTGAATCAAGTACTTTATCTTACGGTCAATCTATCCCTGGTCAAAAAGAAATCAAGAGGGAGAGAACCAAGATGGCAGCATAGGTTAACGCCGGAGTTTGCTGCCTTGAACAACTACTTCAAAAGTGAAACTAAAAAACGGAACAGACATCACCCAGAACCACAGGAACGCTGGCTGAGTGGAAGTCCTACAACTAGGAGGAAAGAGAAACGCATACGGACACTCAGAGGAGGCGCAGTGCTGAAGTCAAATTCTGAGGTGCGGAGTGCGCGGAGCGGGCTGGCGGCGGAGGGCGCGGTTGGCGTTTTCAATCGGGAGGGAGTCGCAGACTCTGAGCTCCAGATCCGGGCGAGTCTTTAGGGACCCAGACTCAAACAGGAGAAGCGGGACTGTCTGGCTTCGGTCAGAGCGAGTGCAGCTTTCTCTCCGAGGTTTGCAGCGGGTGCTGGGACTCAGAGAGGCAGAGCCCCTGGGGACAGGACTGAGAGCCGCCATAACTGCTCTCTCCAGCCCACCCTGTTGATCCTGTGCGACCCGCCCCGCCCAAGCCCTGCACAGAGGCATTTGCCGGATAGCCTCAGGCAAAGGCTAGATTAGCACCTCCCTAGAGGACAGAAGTACTCTCACTGCTGACACAGCTGATCCTCATAGCCACTTGGCCTGGAGGTCAAACCCTCCCTGGTATTAGCTACAACAATCAAGGTTTAACTATAAGACTGCACACAAAGACCACTAGGGGGTGCACCAAGGAAGCATAACAAAATGCGGAGACAAAGAAACAGGACAAAATTGTCAATGGAAGATATAGAGTTCAGAACCACACTTTTAAGGTCTCTCAAGAACTGTTTAGAAGCCGCCGATAAACTTAATGAGATCTACAAGAAAACTAATGAGACCCTCGATGTTATATTGGGGAACCAACTAGAAATTAAGCATACACGGACTGAAATAACGAATATTATACAGACTCCCGACAGCAGACCAGAGGAGCGCAAGAATCAAGTCAATGATTGGAAATGCGAGGAAGCAAAAAACACCCAACCGGAAAAGCAAAATGAAAAAAGAATCCAAAAATGCAAGGATAGTGTAAGGAGCCTCTGGGACAGCTTCAAGCGTACCAACATCAGAATTATAGGGGTGCCAGAAGATGAGAGAGAGCAAGATATTGAAAACCTATTTGAAGAAATAATGACAGAAAACTTCCCCTACCTGGTGAAAGAAATGGACTTACAGGTCCAAGAAGCGCGGAGAACCCCAAACAAAAGGAATCCAAAGAGGACCACACCAAGACACATCATAATTAAAATGCCAAGAGCAAAAGATAAAGAGAGAATCTTAAAAACAGCAAGAGAAAGAAACTCAGTTACCTACAAGGGAATACCCATACGACTGTCAGCTGATTTCTCAACAGAAACTTTGCAGGCCAGAAGGGAATGGCAAGAAATATTCAAAGTGATGAATGCCAAGAACCTACAACCAAGGTTACTTTATCCAGCAAAGCTATCATTCAGAATTGAAGGTCAGATAAAGAGCTTCACAGATAAGGAAAAGTTAAAGGAGTTCATCACCACCAAACCAGGATTATATGAAATGCTGAAAGGTATCCTTTAAGAAGAGGAAGAGGAAGAAAAAGGTAAAGATACAAATTATGAACAACAAATATGCATCTATCAACAAGTGAATCTAAGAATCAAGTGAATAAATAATCTGATGAACAGAATGAACTGGTGATTATAATAGAATCAGGGACATAGAAAGGGAATGGACTGACCATTCTTGGGGGGGAAAGGGGTGTGGGAGATGCGGGAAGAGACTGGACAAAAATCGTGCACCTATGGATGAGGACAGTGGGTGGGGAGTGAGCGCGGAGGGTGGGGTGGGAACTGGGAGGAGGGGAGTTATGGGGGGGGAAAAAAGAGGAACAAATGTAATAATCTGAACAATAAAGATTTAAATTAAAAAAAAAGAAATTCAAAAAGAAATCAAAATGTTCCAGACTGTTTTTGGCAAACATGGATACATTGTAACATAAAATACCTGTATCAATAATAACTTATGTGCAGATGCAATTTAATATTAATAGTGATGATTATTTGACCCTCTCCTCTCCTTGTCTAAAGCGACCTGTTCAAAAACATGCTAGAGAGAAAGTGGGCAACTACTAATTCAGGTAAAATTTATACAATATGTGGACTTTTCCTACCTTTAAAATAAAAAAGATATTTAATTGCAACAAGTCCTGTCATGTTTTGTGTAAGCAGGAATTCATTTAGACATGAGTTGCTACACACAAAAATAAGTAATCAAAATGAGCTAACCTGTCCTGTGAGATAGTTAAGTGCTGTCTCCCAAATTAAAATACCAGAAACTGATAGGAGATTAAAGATGGCAGTGGAGTGAGTGAAAGCTCACAGACACACTCCCAGAACCAAACTGGAATAAAATACCAGAAACTGGAGAAGATCCAGGATTTGGCTGGGACATTTTAAGATGTCAGAGAACCCATGAGTTCTGATTCATCCACCCATCAATTAGCAAAGCATATATTCTCAGCGCTGTGGCCTTGACCCAACCCTGATTCCCTCCCTGTCCACAATTCATCTTTAGTCTAAGGCAGTGGTTCTCAACCTTCCTAATGCAGCGACCCTTTAATACAGTTCCTCATGTTGTGGTGACCCCCAACCATAAAATTATTTTCGTTGCTACTTCATAACTGTAATGTTGCTACTGTTATGAATCGTAATGTAAATATCTGATATGCAGGATGTATTTTCATTGTTACAAATTGAACATAATTAAAGCATAGTGATTAATCACAAAAGCAATATGTAATTATATATGTGTTTTCCGATGGTCTTAGGCGACCCCTGTGAAAAGGTCATTCAACCCCCAAAGGAGTCACCACCCACAGGTTGGCAACCCATACAGGTTGAGAACCGCTGGTCTAAAGGAACCCTCTAAACTTTACACATATGTATTGTATTTGGCAGCTGAAAAAAAAGAAAGGATACTGAGATACTTAACACAACAATAATGTGATCTTGATTAATACGCTCAGGAAATTCAAACTCTGGCAGAATAAAGTACAAGCCTCACTCTATATTACAGCAAAAAGGTTGCTTTTTCTTCAGCAGTTCAACTCCCCCACAACACTTTATATTTTATTTAGACAAATGTCTGACTATAAACTATATTGAAACTACTTCAAAGGCTTCTCCTTCCATCTGACAATAACAAGCGTGCTACCAAATATTTGTTACAGAGCCTGCCTCCTCCTGGACAGTCTCACCCTCCCTTCCTCCCGGTCTCCTGAGCCACAATGATAGGCAGCACTGCTCTGCCAACGCACACCCCGGCCCCGCTGCTCTCTTCCAGATGCCCTCCAGGCCCACACAGTTTGGAATTTCTCTAAATGCAGCTTACATATAAAAATTGTCACATTTCTTACTCTATTGTAAAATTTTAAACTGGGGGGGAAAAAATTTGTGCCCAAATTGAATGTTTTTTTAATAAAATACTCTTCTTCCAACAGAGTTCAAAATGCAGGTTAATTTTATGATACAGGTAACAAGCGATCTCTCTCTTCTCTGGGCTTCTAATCAGGTCCACGATCAGAGTTTTGATTAAAACTCTTCCCTGCCATGAAAAAAAAAACAACCACAATTAATTGAAAAAGCAAGAATGTGCATAGAAATGCATTTTTGCTGTAACACATTGCCAAGCTCTGTTCCTAAATTCACCAATACTTTGTATTTTCTTTCTTTGCAGGAAAATTATCCTGTACTTTGCTGTGTTTTTTTTTTTTTTTTAAATCTTCTCCACAAAGACCATGTAATGCTTTTACTAAATCCTAAATCAAGTCCATTAACATTTTCTTGGACTACTGGTAGGTAAAAATGCTGAGATTAAGTGAAACTGAAAATGTTGTATGGGCTATGTACCTCATATTTTTTCAATGTCATCTTCTCCATGAACATCCCTCTTTTGATAGAAGTGTCTGTGTGAACTTCCTTTTGTTTCACTATGACCTTTTTTAAATCTTCTGTTACATGGATTTTTATATGTTAATGCCAGACAGTTTACCAGCAGAAATTTAAACAATGTAGTCAGTCTGTCTCCCCTTAATTAGGCTTTCCTGAATCCTTTCTTCCGGTGTCTTAGCCTAGATAAGACGCATTTTTAATTCAGGAAACACATTCAGGCAGGTGGCTGTAGGGGGGTTATGAGAAGTCTTAGGGAAGACAAAAACGTCAGTCATGTTCTTTCTGTTAGATTCCACTGGAATGGAGCCATGGGTCATCTGCTGGCTGGAGATGCCAGGATGAGTGGGTATCTTAGCTTAAAAGGCAGATCCTGGTAATATTGTTCTAACAGGGTTCAGCAAGGTTGGCGGCACCTTCCAGGGGTCAAGGCAGGTGCTCAGAGATTTTTAAAGGAATTCTCCATCATGCACATGCAATTAGAAAAGTATCTTCCTCAATTTCCTTAAGCGTCAATGTGTCCCTTCCTATCAGAGAGGAATCATGAGTGAGGGGCTGCCTATCAGAGAAAAGGGATTTGGAGCAAAGGGACAGAGGCGCCAGTGAAGACATGGGTGTCATCCTGACCCTTTGTGGATTTCTTCTATAAACTTGGATGAATTGCTCTGGTTTCTCTCTTTTCAAAGCCACGTGAAGACACCTGGCCTGGGGAAACCCAACCATGAGGAAGCATCTTTGTGAGGGCAGCATTAGGAGCAAAAATAAAAGCCAAATTATAATTTCACCCACTACACTCAGTTAATGTCCATAATGGTCTCTTTATAAGATGATTTATTTTAGTAAGCTAAGTCTGGTTATGGATCCTGGGGAACAGAAGGAAAAAAACTACAGATACTTGCCCAAAACACATGCTGAGAAAAGCAAATGGAAAGATAGAATGAAATGTAAGATAAACTTGGTAGAGGCAAGAGATACACTTTAATGAGGTTTGTATAATTGAAAGCATAGTGAAAAGTATCTACAGAGATACTTAAGTGTAAGGATTTATGGCTTCTCAAATGCTTTTCAGAGAAACTGTCTATGAAAAGTATTTTAGAGCATTAACCCTTGGGTGATATCTATGGTAATAAGAGAAAATATGACAGCCCAGGAAGCTCTAGGCCAGAACACATAGTGTCTGTTTTAGATTTTCTCTGCCATTTGCTGTCACTATGATCGTGAGTAAGTCCCTTCAGCTCTCCACGGCTTCTTTTCCTCGTTTATAAAACGTAAATAAAGAAACATTCAACCTACAAAGCCATCGTGAGAAATAAATGAGGTCATCTGTGTGGGAATGTATTAACTCTAAAGAACTCAACAAACATTGGTTATCGCATGAACAGGAACTACGCGTTCCCACTGGAGGCGCTACTCTAAGGCTAACGGTTAAGAGCCTGAGCAGGGGCGCTGTTGTGAATGCTTACATTTGATGTTCTCTCACAAAAGCTGCAAACTCAGGATCATTGGCATACAGTTCCAAAATTCTCATTCTTTCTTGAATTTCCTTTTTGAAAAGAAAAATAGGCCATACATCGCATTAGAAAAGCTTAAATCATCTTTTAAAAGGAGTCCTAATTTTTATAAGGAAATGTGGCTGTCTGGGCTATCCAGGGAAGAACTATAGGAAAGAATGGCCTTTTCAGAGAATGGAAGGTTTGGATAGTACACGAACTGCTCAGAATAACTCCGGCATATTTCTAAGGAAGTGGGGAGGAGGAAGAGAGCAATTGTTAATAATGGAGAAAGAAACCACTGGGTGGAGAAGAAGGTACAGCTCAGATTCATATACCCTCTGCATCCTACATCAACTGGGGGATATCATGAAGTAGAAACTAATCGGGAAATACTTCTCATCTTTTCTTGAAGCTCGTGCGCGCGCGCACACACACACACACACACACACACACACCAGAAGCAGCAGAGCAACAACAGAAAAGCAGTTTCCTACCTCTCTGGAAAGCCCACTGTTCTCATATATTTGTCTGACTTCTTCTCTGCTCAGACCACCAATCACCTCACCTCGTGCAGCACTCTGGAAGGGACCCTGAGGATAGGGTCCCCTGTACTGTTCCATTCCCGCCCCATGCCTTTCATACATGGGGTTGTACTTTACGGCATCTTCAATGGATGAAAGGCTGGCAGGCTGTCTGCTGGAGCCACAAAAAGAAAAGTAGGATTCATTCAGATTCAGATGTATAACCACGTGGAAGGCTATTTACCTGTAGTAAGATTTCTCTTGGGGAAGAAAAGGAGGTGAACTGATACAAATCAGGAGAGGTGACTGTGAAAAATACCCAGATCAATCTCAGAAATTATTTATCAGGTGTTGTCATTATTATCTCCTCAACTACATGGCAAGTGCCCCAGGGAATTGTTCCATGTCTCATTCATCTTTACTTGCCCCACAGGGACTGACACTCAATAAATGCTGATGGGGAACCAAGCCTGCCAATAGATAGTATTTCATGGAATGCATACGGCACCATCATTCCCAGAGTAGACAAATAAAAAATCAATGTGTAGCACACAGAAAATCTGATAAAAATATAAATATGGGAGTATTGGGCCTCAGGTTCAATTCAGGTCTACAAATATTTACTGAGCATTGATTATGTGCCTAAGACAGTTCTAGATAGTAATGATAAAGAATTGATTGGAATGAGATTACAGTCTAATGAAAAGTCAGACTCAATAAAAAGCATAAGAACAGTGATGGAAGTATGTCCTGGGCACTCTAAGAACCTAGGAGAGGTGCCTCCTTAGCAAGCTGAGGGTGAGGGAAGGTAACCTAGACCTAAACCAGTAACTCTTATAGACTATGGAAGCACAAAAGCAAAGTACAACCACTGATTATTATCACACTAGAGGCCCAGTGCACGAAATTCATGCATGAGTAGGGTCCCTAGTGACTGCTGGCTGCCAACTGGGGCCTCCCTTTCCCTGGCCACCTGCCGCCAACTGGGGGGAGCTGCCACAGGCGGTTGGCTGGACAGCCCCACCCCCTTGTCAAACTCCCGGTTGAACTCCAGGTTGAGGGGACAATTTGCATATTAGACTTTTATTATATAGGACAGTGATGGCGAACCTATGACACGCGTGTCAGAGGTGACACACGAACTCATTTTTTTGGTTGATTTTTCTTTGTTAAATGGCATTTAAACATATAAAATAAATATCAAAAATATAAGTCTTTGTTTTACTATGGTTGCAAATATCAAAAAATTTCTATATGTGACACGGCACCAGAGTTAAGTTAGGGTTTTTCAAAATGCTGACACGCCAAGCTCAAAAGGTTCACCATCACTGATATAGGATAACAACCCAAAGGGTCCTTGGATTGCTAGTCTAACAAGTAAAACAGATTATATTTTCTCCATTAATGAAGCTACATTTTACTAAAAGAAAATCAGATGTCATTTCTTGTCAGATTCTTATCTAGATTTAGAACCTAATGAGCAAAGGGTAACAAACTAATTGATCTGATCTTCATACAGGGATCTTACCTTATCGCCATCACCCTTCCAGCCTCTCCCCAATCATGAAACAGGCATTTGGCCATGCTCAATGAGGCCATTCCTTTAGTGTTCCTTGAGATTCACTCATGCCTTCCTAACTTTGCTCATGCTCATTCAATTAGCTAGAAAGTGTCCCACCCACCCACCATAGATAGCTACTCTTCTGTCCAGCTAAATACCACAACTATCTTTCAACTTCTAAGACTCTCTCCCCCAGGCAAAACTAACTCGTGCCTCATCCAGATCCCTTCACATCTTACTCATACTGCAGCTTCTGTTTATTTCCAATTTGACACCCTTCGAGGACAGAGCCCATGTTTTCATTCAACTTTATAGCTTTCTCCCTTGCACCCCAGATCCTTATTCGATATTTGGCACATAGTCAGTACTAAATGAATGAATAAGCGGGACATTTTCTTTCACCCAAGAGCAGTTTTATTTACCTAAAGGGCCTCTCTCTTTCTCTCTGAGCATTCTGAGCTTGAAGAGTCTTGATGAGGAAGATGACAACAGCAGAAGAGACGAGGAGAAGTCCAACCACGGCGGCGATGGTGATGCCTATCACCAAGGGCTCAGACACAAACTCCTCACAGTGCTCCCCTCGGTACCACCAGTTCTCACCCACCCGGCACCTGTAATGAGAAGTGACTGAGTCTCAAAGTGGAATCACTTTGCTGAAAGTAACAATGAACAGCAGAAGCTTCAGTGGGACCTGGGAAAGGTAAAGAAATAAATACTGGCCACAGGAAGCTTCAGTAAAGAGGTAAATGTGCAGGTTCAATGATCATACAAGTTAAGTCCCTCCATACCCCAAGGCCACAGACCTGTGCAAAAATGTCTTTAAATCCCATAGCAGCAAGGAAATCACTGCTTTTCCATAATACTAATTTCTCTGGATATCAAGGGACTACCTTTCCCCTTATTTTGCTAGCTAAACATTACACTTTTCCACATAGAAGAATCTGAATCATTTCTACCTATTTCCTCTGTTGGTGGCATTATGCCAACATTTGACCATTTTCACATCCACAAATTGTCCTCTCATTTATTCTCAGCACTCACTCCTTTTACACCATGTGACTGTGGTGTGTGGTGGGAGGTTGATTTGCTCTACTTTGTTTTAGGGGAATGGGCAGGAAAGGACAGTCAGGGTACCTGTATCTGCTCATCTACGGCATTTTCATCGTTCTACTTTTAAAAAATGGATCTCAGGTACTGAAATAAAATATATTTGTCATGACTTCAAAGACTTTAAATATTTGCTTTTATTTTTCTCTGAATACTTGGTAGGACCAAGAGCAGCCCAGAGCCATTCAAAACAGAATCCAAATAGAATAAAACTCCTTTGTTTTCACTTTCAGTTACAGTATTACATGTTGCTCTTACGCCGAAACCTAATTTAAGTGCCAATTGCCTTACCATCCCCTCTAAGAACCACAACACAGACCCCAACTACTCCCAGGACTCTCAGTGGGACACTAGACAATGTCTTTCTCACAGCTCCCTAAGAGCATAAAATAAAATAACCATTTGAACTATAATTCAGGCATTTTAACTCAACTCAGTCTTCACATGAACACTAAATAGTACCAATCTATTGTTTAGATATAACTTCTATAACAAATACTGCTGAGATTATCCTAAAATCATAGGTGTAGACCCTTTTTCTTCAGAGGAAGTATCTACAACCTCATGAAGTCAAAATTCCTAGCTACGCCATACCTACAAATGGCCCCATGTCCAGGCATAATGTCACATTTCCCATCATTGAAGCAGAAGTCAGGCTGAAGGTCACAGAGACTCTGACAAGGCAGTTCTTCCACACTCAGGTACCCAGGGTAGCATCTGCACTCTGCTTCTCCACTCCAGGGATTGACCAAACACTCGGAAAACTCATTGCATGCCTGAAACTTGCAAGGGTTGGCTTCATCACCTAAAACATTAAACAAACCAGAAAAAAAATACTAGAAAAGGCAAAACACAGGAGTTGGAGTACATGAAGCTCCTCCACTAAGTCTCACTGTCCAAAGTACCATGGGGATGACCCCTTTCCTGAAGCATTAAACTACACCATCACCACCAAAACCACAAAAATTTTCAGATTCATCCTAAGAATCTTTCCTAAACCCTTCAGAGGTATCATGGCCCAGAAACACCTTAGTTTTAGATTTCTATCTTTCAAAACTATGAGAGAATAAATCTCTGTTTTTGTAAGCCATCCTGTTTGTGTTCTTTTGTTACAGCAGCCCTAGGAAACTCATACGGGGGACCACTGATGAGATGCTCATATAACAAGGAAAGCATACAACAGTGCTGTTAGATGGGCAGTTTCTACAAGGGGCCCATGCAGCAGGGTTCCATTGTGTATTTCCTGTCCTCACAGTCTTATTCTAGTATACATATTGTGACTTTGTACCCAGAAAACAACATAATCCTGGCCTAGCAGTGTGTTTAGAGAAGGGGAAGGATAATATTGCATGGCTTCCTATGTTGATGGAAGTTCAAGAGTTTTTGTGCAAAGAAGTTAGACAAGAAACACGTCAATCTTATCTCTAGCCAATCTTGAGATAAAATAATATTTTAATCTGAAGACCTTTAACTAAAAATATACAGGTAGTAGGGAAATTCTATTTTAAAATTCTAAAATACTGTGATCATTCCATGGGTATATGTGTGAATGTCTGGTGGAAGGGAAATAGGAAGAGGGAAAAAATAAATGTTGCTTCCTTTTGCCCTAGACCAAGAAGAGAGAGTAAGACTAATATTTTAATCATGTAAATAAAAGACTGTAGCTTTACAGTCTTTTTCCAGTCCTCTGTGTAGGTTAAAGGTGGATGCCCAGAATACATGGCGCTCTGTTTAAGACCTTAATGACTTTAGGGGAAAACAAAGATAGACCTGGAGCTTAATTTGGGATAAGAGACAAGGATCTAAATTATAAAATGAATTATGTCTAGTTTACCAGGGACAGGCTAAGAGAGGAATTGATGGGTCTAGAAAAATGATAATGAAGAAACTATGGAAAAGGTGTAGAAAGACAGCCAGAATAGCATGGTAGCTGGCTTGGTCCAAAAAGTTGGCCAATAAGAAATGACTTTGAAAGGGTTGCTAAGGAAGTTTAGGATATTTTATGCCCAACAATATTTTAAACCACCTGTAGTGGTATGATAAAGCCTTCTCTGTCACCCTCATAGCAAAGGAAATATCTGATAGAATCAACTACCTTGTAGAGGTGCCTTGGAAAAGTCAAAAATGGGACTGTGATCTGTATTGGGTTTTCATAAAGAACAACCACAAGGATTGGAAATTCAGCAGAAGGAACTCAGAGCTGGAGGTGATTAAGAGATATTTCATCCCTGTTCATTCCTAGAGATATTGGGGGTGGGAGGGACATGGATGCAGGTTTTACACTACACTTGGAAGGGGCTGATGCCAGTTCATTTGAATATTAAAGAAAAAGGTGACCCTATAAACCTGAATGACTCAGCATGCAGCTCACATGTGAGTTACATAAAATATTGATGTAAATGCACTTACTGATTGGGTCCTTCTCTTTTTTTAAAAAGTGGGTTGACTTTTGCAAAAAGTTTTATGAATTATATCTGCTTGCATGCATTTGTATGGCTAGTCAAATGCAAAATATGTTATTATTTTAATACTTAGACTATCCCCATAAAATACATAGGCCAGGTAATATTATCTCCATTTTAAATTTTTTTTAAGTTTTCGATTAGAGCTGACATACAATATTATATTAGTTTCCTGTGTATAACATAGTGATTAGACATTTATATAACTTATTAAGTAATCACCCCAAACATTATCCCCATTTAATATATGAGGGACTAAAGCTCAGAGATAATATAGATCATCTAGGGTCACACAAATGATAAATGGCAGAGCAGAGGCAAAAAATCAGGCCTTCCAGCCCTGGCCAGTTTTCTCAGTGGAACATTGGCCCGCGCATCAAAGGGTCGCAGGTTCAATTCCTGGTCAAGGGCATGTTACAGGTCAATTACAGCCCCAGTCGAGGAGGCAGCCAGTTGATGTGTCTCTCTCACATCGATGTTTTCTCTCCCTCTATTTGTTTCTCTCTCTCTCTCTCTCTTTCTCCCTCTCTCTCTCTCTTTCTCTCTCTCTCAAGATTAATGGAAAAAATATTCTCAGGTGAGGATTTAAAAACAAAAGAACAAATAAAGAAATCAGGCCTTCCAAATTATAATTACTTGCTTTTTCCACTACACCACATGGCAAAGACTGCACAACTGGCCTTAGAGAACTCAAATGGCAAGAGATTTAAATATTGGAGGATTAGCCGAATCATTTTCCTCACTTTCAGTGAATAAGGATTTCAAAGGAAAGAATGTGACTTTCTCAGTTAAAAAATAGAGTTCACTTTCAAACCAGTTTGAGAGTAAAAGTCACTGGAGAAATACGAACTCAGGTATTCCCCCTGACTCGTACCTAAAACCACTGTCCTCTGGTGGGTGGAAGATGAAAAAGAACAAAGTCTGAGGATTCAACAGTATTCACTGCATCCAAATCTTCCAAATAAAAACAATGGTTCATTTCATTCGTTCGCAGTATTTTTTAGTACCTTTTATATGCAAGACACTATGGTTAATAAAACAGATAAAATATCATTCCTTGTCGATAGCTCAACTGAGGATAATGCCCATTAAGCAACAATGTGCATAAATTAGCATTATTACAAAAGTTATAAGCTCTATAGCAGGAAAAGAACGTGATGTTACAAGAAAAACTAACAGAAGAGACCCAATCTAGATTATGGGTGATTCAGTGAAAGTCTTGAGGAGGAGACATTTGAACTGAAGCATAAAGGGTGAGCAGAAGTCAGCCAAGAGGGGAAAGAGTTCCAAGCAAAGGAGACAGTATGTGCAAAGGCTTTAAGGCAAGAAAAGTTGTTTGAATCTGAGGAACTAAAAACCAGCAAGTTTGACTTGGTAAGCAAAGAAGTTAGTTTCATTAGATGATATCGGGGAAGAAGGTAGGGTCCAGGCCTTGTAGCTACTGAGCCAGGCAGTCATTGAAGTAAAGTAATCTGATTGATGTTTTTAGAAGGAGCACCCTGGCTGCTATCTGAAAAATGGAGAAGGGAAGGAAACAAGAGAGGTAGTGGGGAAACTAGTTCAAATAAGAGGTGACAATGGTTTGGCCTAGAGTAGTGGCAATGGTGGTAATAGAAACTGAGGTATCAGAACGACTTCCCAGGTTTCTGGCTTAAGTAGCTGAGTGGACACAGCTTCCATTTATCAAGATGGTGAAGTTGAGTGGAATGGATATAGCTGAAATGCGGAGAGATACAGAAAACAAGATCTCACTCTTACTTATCTTAAATTTGATATACGTAGAATACATCCAACTTAAGGTCAACAAGTACATAGTTAGATACTGATTCTGGAGCTCAGAAGACAAGTCTAATCTGTATATAAAAATGTGGAGAGAAATTTTATCTCTATTAGACTTATAATAATGGAAATGGATAAAACAACTTGGGAAAATTATATAGAAGGAAGGGAGTCCAAATCTACCTGCTTGGCAAATAGAGATGTAGCAAAAACAGATCCAGTGGAAAGGTAAAAGAGAGAGCCAGATAGAGTAGAAAAGGAAACAGGAGGTAAATAAGTAAAGATAACATATGTGGACCACCCTTTTGAAAAGAGAATGATACTGATATCCTTGGAAGAGATATACTAATTATCAAGATGGGGAAAATTTGCCTGACATGATACTCTTTTACCTACAAGTGTTGAATTCACCTTGACTCGGTGTGGAAGAAAATACATAAGAATAATTACTGGATTCCACTAAGAAATCAGCAGAGTAATCAATATCATCACCTGATTCCACGTCAAGGGAGTATTTATCAATAGCCAAGTTCATGGTTTGGTAGGCAGTGGTGCAAAAGTCTTCCAGAATCATGTATACAGCATTGTTGACATTAGGAGGGACAGACTTGGAGAACTTCATTCTGCTATTCACCACAATACTGCCATTTCTGAAGTTCAAGATTTCTAAATTCTGGAACCCTGTGAGATTTGACTGGAGATAGGGAACCAGCTGCAACACATGAAAAATGATCAGTTTACTGACAATATTTTGCATTTTGCTCAACATGTACAAAAAAAATTAAACAAGGATGAACCCTTCCCCCTTTCCAAACTGCATGCTATTTGCATTATTTAAACTGCTCATTAACAAAGTATCAATTGTAACTACCAATCTATACTTCTCAATCCCTTCACCTTTTTCACCTAGTTCCCCCCCCCCCCCCGCCCCCCAACCCCCGGCAACCATCAGTATGCTCTCTGTATCTATGAGTGTGTTTCTATTCTGTTTGCTCATTGATTTTGTTCTTTAGATTCCACATATAAGTGAAATCATATAGTATTTGTCTTTCTCTGACTTATTTCACTTAGCATAATCCCCTCAAGGTCCACCCAGGCTGTTGCAAATGGTAATAGTCATGGAGATGTAAAGTACAGCATAGGAAATCTATATACATAAAAGCCTAAGTGACCATTACAACCAGATGACCAGACGACTGGCTGGGAGCTATGATGCACACTGACCACCAGGAGGCAGATGTGCAATGCAGGAGCTTCCCCCTGGTGGTCAGTGTGCTCCCACAGCCCACCTCCCATGACCAGCCAACCTCCCACAGTCCCTTTCCCCGGCCAGCCAGCCTTGATCAGGACTGGGCAAGATGGCCTCGATGGGCCCCGATCGCCAGCCAGGCCTAGGGACCCCGCCCATGCATGAATTCATGCACTGGATATATATATATATATATGGCTAATATGCAAAATGTCCCCTCGGGAGTTCAACCGGGAGACCAGGAGTTTGATCACTCACTATGACATGAGCTGACAACCAGGAGGCAGTGCAGAACGAAGAGAGGCCCTGTCTGGCAGTCAGAAGGAAGGCCCCAGCCAGCAACCTGAAGGCCCCAATGGGCCCTGATCACTGACCAGGCTTAGGGACCTTACCCATGCAGGAATTTTGTGCACTGGGCCTCTAGTATAGTCAATAATATTGTAATAAATATGTACGGTTCCAGTTGCATACTGAAAATATTAGGGGCAACACTTTGTAAAGTATATAATTATCTAGCCACTATGCTGTACACTTGAAACTAATATAAAATAATATGAATATAAACTGTAAATGAAAAAAATTTAAGGAAAAAGAGTGTCAATTTTGCATTATTTTAGAGTCATGAGATTTTAATAGTACTATTTTGGAACCGCATAGAACTCACAGACAGTTTTAGATACCAGAGAGTTTATTTTCTCTGTTACTAAAGTATCCCAACAGTGAAGGTGTTATAGGTACCCACAAAACATTGGTCTCACAATAAACTGTGAAAAAAAATCTTAAACTTGTTTCAGTCCCAGAATTCATGAATACAATATTCAGTATCTAAGCTATTACATCACCCTCATGCCACATTCATATCCACCTGTCTTATTACTTTCCTAACACTCTAGGCCATGACATTATTTGTAGTTGATAAAAAAAACAAAATGAGTGTCTACAGCAGACCACACTCTCCTTGGCTCAGATCTTATGTGTTGACTACTCACTAATGCCCATGGTTCACTTTTTATGCTTACCAACTCTAAGAATCTTTGCTCCAGGGCTTTATATTCCAAAGAGTTTTTATTAAACAGATCTTCTGAAAACATCATGTTAGTCACTCGAAGGCTGAAGAAAACCAGCAATGCTCCTGTGGTCTGGGTATGATTTGAGTCACCTCTTTTTGTGGGGTGAGCCACAATAGCCATCTCTGTAGAGTGAACATTTGTAGAGATTTCCACATAACTACCAACCCTGCCATTTTCTTCTGGGATTAGCTCAGGCTGATAGTAATCTGTGCCTATCCGGTCCAGTTCTAATGAAATATCCTGTACACCCATAATTACTTCATCCTCCAGCAGGGTGGAGCTTGTGGTTGGAGGCAATTCGGTAGACTGTGTCATGGAAGCTTTCAACCAGAGCTTGTCAGTACTCTCCGGTGCACTTGCCAATGTGTCTCCAGACAATTTTCCTAGGGAAGAAGTTTTTTCCCAAACTACATCTGATTCTGGCGATATGGTCCACAAAGATTGCATATCTGGCTTCAGTGTTGAAATCTTGCTATCAAACTGTTTACGATTGGATGGCTCTGTAGTTTGTTCCATATCCTCCTTTAGAAATGGTTCTACTTGATCTGGTTTACCAGTAGAATCAAAGATTGCTATAGATGTCAGTAGAGGAGGTGCATTGGTAACTGAGTAATAATCAATGTCAGGTACCTCTGATGTGTGCTTGGAGAGAATTAGAGGTGCAGACTGAGTTGTGGTCTCTGCAAAGAAGGGCACAGTAGGTCCCTCAAGGGGCTCTTCCTCTGAAAAGTGTGTGGATCTATCAATATGCCCATATTTTGAGTGCTCAATACTTCGGTCTGTGGAATCTATTTTGTCACCTACAACTAGTTTCTCATCCACACTCTCAAATGGCAAAAGTGAATCCTCATCTTCCAGCCATGATTTGGTCAGTGGTTCAATGCTCTTCTCTAATGAAGTGTCGCTCCATGGCCAAGTAATCCCACTCACCTTTTCCCCAGACCCTGAGCCTAAGCCATTCTCAAATATGACCTCTTTTTCCATGGATGTGTCTGGCATCAAAGTGCTCACTTCTAATTGGCCGTTAACTTTGGAGGCCGAAGGGTCTAAGCCAGGAGGTGTAGACCCTTCCTGAGCAAGGGGATCTAATATGACAGAGGAGACCAGATACGGTGAGGATGTCAAAGACACCACAGAATCTTCCTTAGGTGGTATTGTTTCTTCTGGTACAGAATGAGTTAATGTACTTAAGGGCAAAGGATCACCTGAAAAAGAATCTTCTGACCCTTCGACTTTGGTTAATCCTAAAAATAAAGTTTTCCATTAATTAATCTACAGTGTTACTAAAATATATTCCCAGTCCTCCTAATAAAACCAGCTTCCTGTTTCTTTCCATTAGATTAGTAAGGATAGTTGCTGACTTTTACTAGTACTTTGCTAGATCCAGCAAACAACAAGACAATATGATTATGTTTTTGTGGTGTGGTACAATCACTCATGAATATACCTTCCTTGAGAACAAGATATAGGCTATTGAAATAATTCATCTTTAAACACTTGATTTTCTTTTTTTTTACTCCATGAAAATAAAAAGAACTGCTGATAACCATGTTGACAATAAACACTGAATCTAGTGAAAACTTAGGGAAAGAATTCCCTAGGAAATTGTGTTTATCTTTAAATTTCTATTTCCTTGTTATGTTTATTCTCCATCATCTTTCAGGTTCACTTAATGTTCAAAATCCTGGACTCATTGTTTACAACTTTGTTCATCTTCCTCTTTCTCAAGTATACTCCATGCATGAGTCACATTGATTTCTCCTTTCCTTCACAACATTTAAATCATCTACTTGATTTTCATTCCTTAATCTCTGCTATAACTTCCTTAGTTCAGGTTCTCCCTCCCAAATGAAGTCTAATGCAAGCTAAAAATCTCTATACCTGGCCCCTACACTTAATCCTATTAAAAGCTACTGGGATAATCTTCTCTGATGCTCTTTGTTTACCACTCCAATATTTAAATAAGTAAAGTAGTTATCTAATAGTAATTTAATTATATATTTTAATGGGACTTTCAAAATATCTATTAATTGATCCCTACCCCAGCCTACCAAGTTCATTTCCAGTCCAAACAATTAAACCTGATTGTTCCCTTTCTCACACAATTTTCCCAAGACATTTCCTCCTAACCTACTTTCCTATTAACCCCAGTCTCTTCCTCTCCTCAAAACCCTTGTCATTTACACAATAAAGTAAAGAAATATGAACAGGAAGTAGAATTTCTTACCCTCTTCTAATAAGTAAGATCCAGAAGTCCTTTCCTCAGAAGCCACAGGCAAGCCAGTCGGCAGCACTGCTGGGGTGACAGAATGAAGAGTCAAGCTGCTAACCTCTAAAACCGCTGGGGAAGAATGGAGGCCCACCTTCGTGGGAAAGTCTAGTTTGGGTGTAGACACTAAATCACCCAAAGGTCTTTCCGACCAGAGTTCCCTGCCAGTGGCTGAGGGAGAACCAGAGCTGAAATCAAGTAGTGAAGTACTGCTGGTGGTGGAGTCATCAGCTGAGGGCCATGCAGCTTGACGGGTATTATCCTAAGGGGGAGAAAAAGGCTAAATCATATCATAGATAAAAAGAAACACATAAAAGTGATTTTAAATACCACCTATCTATCTAAATTCCCAGGTTTTCTAGGGGTAAGAAGGCAATGTAATATTGGGGGGAGGGGAGACAAACAGATCTGTAATCAAATCCCAATTCACCACTTACTAGTTGCAAAATCTAGAGAAAAACCATGTATCTCTTGAATCTCACCTGGAAAGTAGGGATAGATAAGATAACATATTTAAAAGATTCCAAACAAAGTGAGTTTGTGGAAGAAAATATTATTTTTCTTGCTTTAGGTAATTCCTTTTTCTCTATCTTAGCTTAAATACTTTAAATTCATAGAAGTTACAACTATCTGTAATTTGTTGACAACAACCTAACACATTTCCTACAGCAGAAAAGAACAATTAGAAATGTTATTCATCATTCTAGGATATTTATTAATTAAGGTCTTTGTTTTGATGAGAAATGCCACCACATGAAAATGAGATCAGGTTACTTCAAACAAATCGTAACATCTGTGAAATGGGATCACACTTATAAAATAAAATTTTTCTCTTCCCAGTGACTTTTTACTAATGTGATACTAATCTTATATTCATGTTTAGCTCCAGGAATAGAAAAGTAGGCAGAAACACAATCCCTATTTAATCCTATGAAGATTAGTCTATGTAAAAAAGTTTACCAGTGATGCTGACAGGCAAAATGGCCATGACACTTGGTGGGAGTTTCTATGTTTTCATCTGTGCTGGGTTATGAATAACAAAAAACAAGAAGTGCCATGTGCATAGAATTCATAAAATATTTACTGGGTGAAAATAGAAAAGAACAATCATTCTCTACTCTAAATAGCATTAAAATCGCATGGAAATTTTTTTATGTTTTTATTGATTTTTAGAGAGAGAGGAAGGGAGAGGGATAGAGAGAAACATGGATGAGAGAGCTGCCTCCTACACACATCCTACTGGGGATCGATCTCACAACCCCAGGCATGTGCCCTGACTGGGACCTCTTGGTTCTTGGGTCGACTCTCAATCACTGAGCCACACTGGCTGGGCACGTGAAAACTTTTTAAAACCCCCAATGCCCAGGCCCCACATTCTAGACATTCTAACTTAATGGGACTTGATAATTTTAAAAACTCCCAAGTAGAGAATATAGCCTGATCATGTTCTGGTCATACTATTCCAGCCTGGGTCTTTAAAATACTTATTTAATTGTTCAATTGTTACATTTCTCATTAACTGAAACCTCTAAGAAATGTCCCCTCATATAAACCTTACTGAAGATTAGAATGCATGGTATAGCTATAAAAAAAAAAAAATGAAGTCCAGAAAACTCTGTCTATAACACCTTCCTCCTCATCCAAGAGATCTCTACCAGTGGTAATGAATTTTCACTGGCATACACTCGCGAGCCTCAGAAGCTTTTTAAACGAAAGCACACAATTTAAAGGTGACTAACTACAGTTCAATCTATGGCCATTAAATAAAACAGAACCTACTGGTCTATGGAGAGATTTAACCCAATGTCATGACCTAACTAGTCCTTTATGTTTTGCCTACATTCTCTCCCCTTTTCTTTCCATCCAGGATCTGTGTGAGGAATCTTTAGACAGCATACTCTCCCAATCACAAGGAAAGGAACATAGGCAAGAAATCACTGGGCATGTCCTAATTTAAGCCTTCTTCCAGTGACAAATGAACTGGGGAGATAACAACAGTAGATCATTGGGTATATATATAGACACCCTCAGTTTCATCTATAATTCCTAAACTGAAAGCATTCTGTCAAGTAAACTAATTTTCTTTTGTGGAAAGACACCATCACTTCCTACCTTGTCCATGCTCCTTTAATTAGATCCTACTTTAAGTGTGTCACCATGCTGGTTATTCTTTATTTGCCACCACCCTAGATCCTCCTCTTCTCTGCTCTCTGCACTGGGAGGCTGACCCTGACCCTGACCCTGACCCTTACCCTAACTCTAACCCTAACCCTAACCCTAAACCCTAAACCCTAAACCCTGACCCTGACCCTGACCCTGACCCTAACCTAACCCTGACCCTGACCCTAACCCTAACCCAGACCCTAACCCTGACTCTGACCCTAACCCTAACCCTAACCCAGATTCTACTAGTATTCTGGTTAAGGGCACATGCCGGGTTGCGTGCTTGATCCCCAGTAGGGGGCATGCAGGAGGCAGATGACCAATGATTCTCTCTCAATATTGATGTTTCTCTCTCTCTCCCTCTGCCTTCCTCTCTGAAATCAGTAAAAATATATATTTTTTTAAAATTTTAATAAGTAAATAAGCAATTGGGCTGGTTTACCACTGCATGCAGGCCCTTTGTAAAAAAGAAAATAAATAGAAAATAAAAGCAGATCAATTACTAGTAAAGAGTTTAAATTTAACAAAAACCCTCCCAACAAAGAAAAGCCCAGAACCAGAGGTTTCACCAGTGAACTCTACCAAATAGTTAAAGAAGAATTAATGTCAATCCTTCTTAAACTCTCCCAAAAAAATTGAACAGGAGATGATACTCCCAAACTCATTTTACAAAGCCAATATTACCCTGATAAGAAAACCATACAAAGACATTACAAGAAAACTTTAAGCTAATATACATAGAACAACAAAAATGTGTTTATCATACTAGTATATACTATACATTATAATAAAAATAATAAATGTGATATACCACATTAGTAGAATGAAGGATAAAAAATCATATGATCATCTCAATATATGCAGAAAAAACATTTGACAAAGTGAAAAATCCTTTCATGATAAGAAAAGTTCTTAACAAATTTGTCAAATTGTATGTACAAACTTATAGTTACAAGATAAGTTCTGGGTACCCAATGTACAACATGGTGACTATAATTATGTGTTATATACTTGAAAATTACCTAGAGAGTACATCTTAAATGTTCACACCCTCCAAAAAAGAAAGTAATTATGTGATGGAGGGGTTAACTAACCCTATTGTGGTAAGCATTTCACAATAAACATCAAATCTTCACACTGTACACCTTAAATTTGTACAATATCATGTATTGATTATATCTCAATCAAGCTGGGCAGGGAGAGAGGGTGAACCAGATGAAGAGAATAAGAAGTCAATTTCTGATAAATAAAAAGACAACAAATTGAAGTCCACAATGTGGAAGAAAACTAAATAAGTAGCAATACCAGCTTTTCTCTTGCCAGAGGCCCGGGCACTTTATAAGGCCATCCTTTGGTTCATAAACACCTTATGTTGGAAAGGGGGCCTGAGCATGTGCATATGCATGAACATAAAGTACCAAGTTTTCGACTAGGAGGACTCTTAAGAATCATGTAGTCCACCCTTGCCTGTTAAAGATAAGGAACTGAGCTTCATAAGAGTGAAATGCCTATGGCAGTGGTTCTCAACCTTCCTAATGCCGCGACCCTTTAATACAGTTCCTCATGTTGTGGTGACCCCCAACCATAAAATTATTTTCGTTGCTACTTCATAACTGTAATGTTACTACTGTTATGAATCGTAATGTAAATATCTGATATGCAGGATGTATTTTCATTGTTACAAATTGAACATAATTAGGAGAACCAAGATGGCGGCATAGGTTAACGCCGGAGTTTGCCGCTTTGAACAACTACTTCAAAAGTGAAACCAAAAAACGGAAGGGACATCACCCAGAACCACAGGAACGCTGGCTGAGTGGAAGTCCTACAACTAGGAGGAAAGAGAAACGCATACGGACACTCAGAGGAGGCGCAGTGCTGAAGTCAAATTCTGAGGTGCGGAGTGCGCGGAGCGGGCTGGCGGCGGAGGGCGCGGTTGGCGTTTTCAATCGGGAGGGAGTCGCAGACTCTGAGCTCCAGATCCGGGCGAATCTTTAGCGACCCAGACTCAAACGGGAGAAGCGGGACTGTCTGGCTTGGGTCAGAGCGAGTGCAGCTTTCTCTCTGAGCTTGGCAGCGGGTGCTGGGACTCAGAGAGGCAGAGCCCCTGGGGACAGGACTGAGAGCCGCCATAACTGCTCTCTCCGGCCCACCCTGTTGATCCTGTTCTACCCGCCCCGCCCAAGCCCTGCACACAGGCATTTGCTGGATAGCCTCAGGCAAAGGCTAGATTAGCACCTCCCTAGAGGACAGAAGTTCTCTCACTACTGACACAGCTGATTCTCATAGCCACTTGGCCTAGAGGTCAAACCCTCCCTGGAATTAGCTACAACAATCAAGATTTAACTATAAGACTGCAAACAAAGACCACTAGGAGGTGCACCAAGGAAGCATAACAAAATGCGGAGACAAAGAAACAGGACAAAATTGTCAATGGAAGATATAGAGTTCAGAACCACACTTTTAAGGTCTCTTAAGAACTGTCTAGAAGCCGCCGATAAATGTAGTGAGATCCTCAAGAAATCTAATGAGACCCTCGATCTTATATTGGGGAACCAACTAGAAATTAAGCATACACGGACTGAAATAACGAATATTATACAGACTCCCGACAGCAGACCAGAGGAGCGCAAGAATCAAGTCAATGATTTGAAATGCGAGGAAGCAAAAAACACCCAACCGGAAAAGCAAAATGAAAAAAGAATCCAAAAATGCGAGGATAGTGTAAGGAGCCTCTGGGACAGCTTCAAGCGTACCAACATCAGAATTATAGGGGTGCCAGAAGATGAGAGAGAGCAAGATATTGAAAACCTATTTGAAGAAATAATGACAGAAAACTTCCCCCACCTGGTGAAAGAAATGGACTTACAGGTCCAAGAAGCGCGGAGAACCCCAAACAAAAGGAATCCAAAGAGGACCACACCAAGACACATCATAATTAAAATGCCAAGAGCAAAAGATAAAGAGAGAATCTTAAAAACAGCAAGAGAAAGAAACTCAGTTACCTACAAGGGAATACCCATACGACTGTCAGCTGATTTCTCAACAGAAACTTTGCAGGCCAGAAGGGAGTGGCAAGAAATATTCAAAGTGATGAATACCAAGAACCTACAACCAAGATTACTTTATCCAGCAAAGCTATCATTCAGAATTGAAGGTCAGATAAAGAGCTTCACAGATAAGGAAAAGCTAAAGGAGTTCATCACCACCAAACCAGGATTATATGAAATGCTGAAAGGTATCCTTTAAGAAGAGGAAGAGGAAGAAAAAGGTAAAGATACAAATTATGAACAACAAATATGCGTCTATCAACAAGTGAATCTAAGAATCAAGTGAATAAATAATCTGATGAACAGAATGGACTGGTGATTATAATAGAATCAGGGACATAGAAAGGGAATGGACTGACTATTCCTGGGGGGGAAAGGGGTGTGGGAGATGCGGGAAGAGACTGGACAAAAATCGTGCACCTATGGATGAGGACAGTGGGTGGGGAGTGAGGGTGGAGGGTGGGGCGGGAACTGGGAGGAGGGGAGTTATGGGGAGAAAAAAAGAGGAACAAATGTAATAATCTGAACAATAAAGATTTAATTAAAAAAAAAAATTGAACATAATTAAAGCATAGTGATTAATCACAAAAGCAATATGTAATTATATATGTGTTTTCCGATGGTCTTAAGCGACCCCTGTGAAAGGGTCATTCGACCCCCAAAGGGGTCACGACCCACAGGTTGAGAACCTCTGGCCTATGGTCACAAAACATAGAGAAAAGATCAGAACTAGATTGTGGATTTCTACAGGTCTCAATCCCAGTGCTTTGCCCACTATATCTGACTATTCACTGAGAGATATACAAGTGTATATCCCCAGAGGGCGAAAGGATTCCCAGAGGAGGAACTAGAACCAACTGACTGGGCAGTTGACTCTCATTCAAGTTGGCACATGTGCACAGGTGTATAAGACCCAGGTGAACACGGGGTGGGGAGAGACCATTTTTAATATTTAATTGTCTTCTATGTTGAACGTGGAGGCTGTTCGTATAAAAGAAAAGTTTTTCCTTCCCCAGTTCTTCTTCTAGTATCTAAAGCCATATAGGCATTCAGGCAAAAGTAAAAAGGCCATTTGCTCAATACCAAGTTCTGTTCCTCAAAAAAAGTAGTGATGATGATGAGAGTCATACCTTACCAGGGAATTCACTTTTTCTCCTCTTAATTATCTAAAGTCACATCTAGAGATGTGTTAAAGCCACTCATACTTTCAGCTGAGTTAGGTATATTTAGATCCATGCATATTCGAAATCTGCATTTTCAAAATTCTGAGTAAGATGTCTTAAACCCTTTAACTTATACTTAAGAAATTGAGTTTTATCAAACAGAGCCTATGACTTGACACACGTTAGGAGAGCAGCTGAATTATCAATGAAAAAGAAATCCTCAAGCAATACATAGATTTCTATAAACGAAATGGCTTTTCATCTCATAAAAATTAAAAGTAAAACAATACACAACATCTTTAATAAAAACTGTCACAAGTAAGAAACATAAAATGTGGAAGTAAACAACTCAACTTTTTAAATAAAGAAGGATGGCCATCTATTCCAAATACGTACCCTTTCCCCCAAAAAACATGGCATGGCAATGAATCTCTCTCATATATTTTGAAAGGTGAACACATACATGCCAGGAATAGCACCTCGTTTATTTTTATATGGATAAATGCCCCCATAGTAACACATTCAACTCGTGAATTCTTCTTTTAGTTCAATGTAGTATATTAGCAAGTTTAATATTATATTGGCCAGTTTCACTTTTGCTGATGCCAAATGAAAAGCCTGCTACTGCTATGGAAAGCGTACTGTGCAGCAATTTTCCAATTCAGACTGCCAAACGCATCAAACTCAATATCCCAACACTCTTACCTTTAAAATAATTTCTAAAAATCAAATTTTGGTAAAATAAATAAGTAAATAAATAAAATTTAAAATCTCATTAACAGTCTGCCAAAGAGAAATCCAGAAAAAAAGAAGCAATAACCAGATACTTCTAATTAATCTTTTTTTCATGTTTTATTATCATCTATTAACACTTTTTCCTCAAATTGTTAATGACTACCCTACAGTTATCACTGTTAAAAAAAAAACTAAGGGGTTGGTGTAAATGCAAACTGAATCACATACCAGGTAACACAAATAAGCCCCAGTAGTCAGTGCTGCATCATTAAAGGGGCAGCCCCTTCCAGCCATGCTCTAGCCACTTTCTGCCACAAGGAAATATGAAATTAACGATACCAGATATTCCTGGCCTTTAAAAGAAGTTAGAAATCAGCATTTCTATGCAAAAATCTCCTGGTTTTTTAAATTTTGGATGTGTGTTGTTGTTGTTTTCATTTGGTCCCAAAGTACATGCCTATATCTGAATTCAGCATCTGGTCTCTGGTTTGCAACCCCTGGCTTAAACAGAAGTTCTTGTCTTTATACTATCCTATATAATAAAAACCCTAATATACAAATCAACTGAACGGTGGACCAACCAGTCGCTATGATGCACACTGACCACCAGGGGGCAGATGCTCAACTCAGGAGCTTCCCCCTAGTGGTCAGTGCACTCCCACAGAGGGAGTGCTGCTCAGCCAGAAGCCAGGCTCACAGCTGGTGAGCACAGTGGCGATGGCGGGAGCCTCTCCCACCTCTCCGGCAGCACTAAGGAGCAGTGAGCGGGCAGGCAGTAAGGAGCGAGGGGTCCCAGACAGCAAGAGGGATCCCAAATTGGGAGACAGATGTCCACCGAGGGGTCCCAGGCTGCGAGAGGGTGCAGACCAGGCTGAGAAACCCCCCACCCAGTGCATGAATTTCATGCACCAGGCCTCTAGTCTAAAATACCACCACAGATCTCCTGTGTTTAGAGAAGCCTCGAGATGGATGTGATTAGCAGAAAGGAAGACTAGTGTACCATGTTCTCAGTGACTCACCACTCCCGCCAGTGCACCCTGGAGGGACTTCTAGGATAGCGTCACTTTATTTGTGTAGAAGTCTCTCTACTACCGCCAGACTGGAAACTTCTTGTAGGCAAGGCCACACCTTATTCATCTCAGTTTTCTCAGCACTTGGCACATTAAAAGCACAAAATAAATAAATTTGAAAGAATGAACAAATGAATAAATAAGCACCAAGTGAATGTAATATCTGATGCCAATCCCTGTAGAAGGGAGTCTTCCTCCTGCATCTATGTGATAATAGAAGGTCATATGCTCGCCCTGGCTGGTGTGCTCAGTGATTAGAGAGTCAACCTGTGCACCAAAGGGTCTTGGGTTCAATTCTGGGTCAAGGGCATGTACCTGGGTTGCAGGTCTGATCTGGCCCCAGTCAACCAATCAATGTGTCTCTCTCACATCTATGTTTCCTTTCTCTCTCTCTTCCTCTCTTTCTCCTCCTCCTCCCCTCCCTTCCACTCTAAAAATCAGTGAAAAAAATATTTATATACCCGTGGATGAGGATCAACCAAAAAAGAAAAGACCATGTGCTCCTTTTGGACAGGTGAGTGTCTAGTGTGGTTGTGATTGGGCTGTTGTCATTGTTGCTTTCACTGCACCTGAGGAAGCCACCGTCTTTTCTCCAGGACGCCTCCCTATAAAGTGGCAAGTGGTGGCTTGGAGGGGGTAGAGGCACGCCAGGGGAGTTGGGTGGTAAGAACAAAAAGGAAATTCTGTTATATGCTGTTTCTGTACAAATCCTGCTGTTTTTTGTTGTTGTTTTTTAAAGATATATTTTATTGATTTTTCACAGAGAGGATGGGAGAAGGATAGAGAGTTAGGAGCATCGATGAGAAAGAAACATTGATCAGCTGCCTCCTGCACACCCTCTACTGGGGATGTGCCCACAACCAAGGCACATGCCCCCGACTGGAATCGAACCTGGGACCCTTCAGTCCGCAGGCCGACGCTCTATCCACTGAGCCAAACCGGTCAGGGCCAATCCTGCTGTTTTTAGCCCAAGTTAAAAGGAGGCCTGATTTAGAGTCCCTGTCACTTGTCAGCTAGCCAATGTTTTTACTCTTCCTTCTCTCATTTTCATACACATATTGCCCTTTACGTTGTAGAATCTAAACGATTTCTTCAATACAACCCTTAGAACAAAAACCTATCTATACTCTGTACCCATGTACATCACTTTATAGTCTTGACTATAAAAACTAGTTCCGTGTAACTTTTAGAGAGCAACTCAATGGGCACTTAGAGCTTAATTATATCCAAACAAGTATGAGCCATAAATAAGTTTTCTTCCCTGTGTGGAGTTTGGCAGTGCCAAAGGTGTGGATTTCATTTAAGCGCTGCAGAAAGTTTACATTTTCTAACCCAATACTTGGGACCCAAGAGCTGACAACTAAGAATAATGTCCCAGGGATGAAGTAAGAGAATATTTGGGAAATTCGTGATGCCAAAGTAAGCAGGGGAGTGTGCAAAGAAGAGAAGAAGCTTGAGGGCCTGGTTCTAGGCATATAATGTAGAAACACACTTACCAGAACAGATGGTGGGGTTGCCGGAAGACTTGCACTTTGGGGGTTCCAAACCGGGTCTTCAGTGGGGGGAAGAAAAACTCCTCTCACTAAAGAAAAACAATATTCAGGAACATTTTTAATTGAGACGCTATTGTACTTGAGGTTTAGGGACAACTAAATACCACGTTTTTCCTTTTTACAGTTTAGATTGGCAGAACAGATAAGGGAGACTTGCTTAGAAAATGCTTGCAACTTTATTCAGATGTTTTACTTACATTAGCACCATCTGTCTGAATTAAGAGACTCTAGCATAAAATAAATGTTCTTCCCATTATGACATTTAGGACACTCCTATATTATTTCTTTTTCTTTCTGAAGCAGTTTTTACTCTTTTTAAGATTCCTATGAAGCAGTTGTTGTTAAAATTGATTTTTTTTTCCATTTTGATAAGAAAGTTGAACTGAAACTCCAACTCATTTGATTGATGCTAACAAAAGAGAAAATTATGCAAAACTATTTCCTTTCTGGCAGAAAGTACCTTTGAAAAATGGACTAGGAGACCAGAGAGTTTATCACTATACCAATATTAAAGAGAGTAAATTGTATAATTTAATTCAACAAAAATTTACTGAACCCTTACTAGTTACTACGGACTTTGATGAAGTGAAGGCTATAAATATTAATAAGGCTAAGTTTCTCCTGTGGAAGTATTTCATATGTCAGAGATAAATTCATGAGGGACACACACACACATACACACACACACACACACACACACACACACACAATATCCTATATAATAAAAGCCTAATATGTAAATTGTCCCCTCAGGCAGTCCTTTCTACCAGGAGACCAGGAGTTCAACCACTCACTATGACATGCGCTGACCACCAAAGGGCGATGTGGAACATGGCGGGCGTCGGTTATGCAGCACTGGCAGCAGGCGGCATGGAAGCGCTGCCTGCCCCAATAGGCCCTGATGAGAGTGGGACCACGGTGGGATGGTGGAGCAGGTGGAGCAGGACAAGACAGATACAACCAGGGCCCCACCAATCACCTTGTAGACAGCGACCAGCAGCGGCAGCAGGGGGCGGGGCTGCTGCCCGGCTCCCAGGCACTGAGGAGCTGGGCAGGGGCCCTGGCCCCAAGCACCCCACAGGCAGGATGGTGGAGCAGGTGAGGGGGCAGCACCAGGCCAAGGCGGGGTGCCAGGTGGGGCTGCGGGGCTGTGAGGCTGGGAACATGAGCTGGGGCCTGATCTCCACAGGTCACCCCAAGGGATCCCATCCATGCACGAATTCGTGCACTGGGTCTCTAATATATATATATATATATATATATATATATATATATATATATACACACACACACACACACACACACACACACACACATATAGACAAAGTATAAATTAATTTTCCCGAAATGGGAGAGGGAATCAAGAAACTAAAAAGAAGGGTTTGCTAGGAAAGTGAGCTAGTATATAAATCAAAAACAAAAGCAGAATCTCTCGTTATTCACCTACTCTTACTGGCCTGACATAGAGGAGTTAATCAAAAGCCAAAAATCCTATTTGGTTTAAGTATTTTCCAAAACCCTTTTTCAGTTTGTATACAGTTATCTTGTCTTCTATGGACAACAAGCACTAGAAAATCAGGATGAACATATCTTATGAGATTATGGCCAAGTTACCTAGAAAGCTATGCCATTCAGAACTCTGAAGTTGTCATGACAATAGAAATAGATTTTAGGGACAAAATTTTGAGTAATTGAAATGTACATCTATAGTGGCTGCACCAGTCTGCATCCCACCAGCAAGAAAACAGTATGGAATTTCCTCAAAAAATTGTAAATGGAACCCCCATTTGACCCAGTAATCCACACTTCTATGAATATATCCCAAGAAATCAGAAACACCAATCAGAAAGGACATATGCACCCGTATGTTCATAGCAGCACAATTCACCATAGCTAAGATCTGGAAACAGCCTAAGTGCCCATGAGCAGATAAGTGGATTAGAAAACTGTGGTACATCTACACAATGGAATACTATGCTGCTATGAAAAAGAAGGTATTCTTACCATTTGCAACAGCATGGATGGAACTGGAGAGCATTATGCTAAGTGAAATAAGCCAGTCAATGAAAGAAAAATACCACATGATCTCACTCATTTGTAGAATATAATGAAGAACATAAACTGATGAACAAAACAGATCCAAAGACAGAGAAGCATTGATCAGATGCTCAAACCCCAGAGGGAAGACAGGGGAGAGTGGGTGTAAGGGGGAGAGATCAACTAAAGGACTTGTATGCATGCATATAAGCCTAACCAATGGACACTGACACCAGGGGGGTGAGGGCATGAGCAGGGGGGGGGGGGGGGGAGTTGGGAGGGCAATGAGGGGATAAGGACACATATGTAATACCTTAATCAATAAAGAAAAAAAAACCATCAAAAGAGGGGGGGAAAAAAAGAAGGAACTTTTACCATTTGCAATAACATCGATGGAACTGGAGCGCATTATGCTAAGCGAAATAAGCCAGTCAGAGAAAGGATCTCACTCATATGTGGGATATAATAATCAACATAAACTGAACAAAAATAGATCCAGAGACAAGTAGCAGGGGAAGAGGAGGTTTGGGATCAACCAAAGGACTTGTATGCATGCATATTAGCATAACCGATGGACACAGACACTGGGGCAGTGGTGGCATGCCCTAGGGGGTGGGAGTAGCCAGTGGGGTGGTCAATGGGGGTGGGGGGGAAGGAGACATATGTTACACTTTAAACAATAAAAAGATAAAATGTTCAGCTATTTTATTTGTCCCCATTGAAGAACGTAACTTCTCAGCCCTAGCTGGTTTAGCTCAGTGGATAGACCATCAACCTGCAGACCAAAGGGTCCTGGGTTAGATTACTGTCAAAGGCACATACCTTGGTTGCAGGCTCCTCCTCCACCCGGGCCCTGGTCGGGTCTCATGCAGGAGGCAACCAATCGATGTGTTTCTCTCACATCAATATTTCTCTCTGTCTTCCCTCTCCCACTCACTCTAAAAATCAATGGAAAAATATCCTCAAGTGAGGATTTTAAAAAAAGACGAAGAAGAATGTAGCTTCTCAGAATGTATTTAAGAATAAAATGTATTCTTAAATATTTTTTTTTAAAAGTCCTAGGTAACCCAAATAAAGTCGAGGCCACTCTGTGGCCCTGTCTCAGCACACTGGTTCATTAAAGAGACATCAGTTCAGCAGCCTATTTTTTCAATTATGTTATTGAAACAGAATTCAAAGTTTTAGCTTAGTTCCTCAAAAAATATCTTTTGTTTTTGTGGGGTTTTTTTATTGATTTGGGGGAGAGAGAGAGAAACATTGATCGATTGTTCCACTTATTAATGCATTGATGCTAACAATGGAAAACATTATGCAAAACTATTTCCTTTCTAGCAGAAAGTACCTTTGAAAACTGGGTTACTTCTTTAATGCACCCTAATCAGGATCAAATCTGCAACCTTGACATATGGGAACAAGGCTGTAAACAACTGAAATACCCAGCCAGAGCAAAAAATATCTTAATAGGAAGTAAGGAATTATATTATACAGAGTAAAATTTTGTTAAAATGTTTTCTCTCTCTTTTCTTTTTCTCCCTTGTGTCTGCTTCTATTTGTCTACACACACACACACACACGAGGCCTAGGTGGTAGCTGCCTAAAAATATAGAGGCTTCTTTTCCCCTCGGATTATGTAGCAGTTGGAGAGGCTGTAAACATGCATCATTATTAGTATTGCCTCCCACTTGTGGATTTTCCTCCTTAGCAGCTGGTACTTCTCCTATGGGGGTGGCTTCAATAAAATATACTCTGGACATTTTAAAAGTTCAACTACCAAGTGAAGAAACTGTGGAGAAGTAAAAGGAAGTAGCAAGTTAACAGGGCACCACGTCCCTGATGCATTAAGCTCTGGACTCAGCAAGCTCTGTCCCAGGTTGACTAGGTCACTCCTGACTAGGTCACTCAAACTCAGAGTAGTCCCCCCTAGCCAGTTTCTCAGTGGTTAGAGCACCAGCCCACAAACTGAAGGGTGATAGGTTCGAAACCAGTCATACCTCAGCTGCAGGCTCGATCCCTGGTCCAGGCAGGGCATGTGCGGGAGATAACCAATCGCTGTGTCTCTCTCACATAGATGTTTCTCTCTCTGTCTCTCCCCTTCCTTCCACTCTCTCTAAAAATCAATGGGGGGGGGGGATATTTTCGAGGGAGGATTAAATAAATAAACAAACAAACAAACAAACAAACTCAGAGTAGTCAGCCCCTCCTGGCTGACCCAGATCCACCTGTTGATTTTGGGTCATCACTGGACCTATATAGCCGCCTGAACTCAAACTTAGTGTGGGATTCTCTGGAATCCTGCCCAGCACCCAGTCTCAGTTCTTCTTTCCCAGGGTCTTCCAGCAGCTTCCCTGAGCTGCTCCTTCTCTTCTGCTCTCTGGCTTTTAAGCCTTTACAGCTGACCTACCTCTGGAGAGTTGATGTCTTGATTGCCGGGGCAGCACTACAGCCTATTTCAATTCATACTTCTAGGTGCTTCTTGACTTTTTCTTATAGTTTGCTTCCATAGCTCTAACCTATTTCTAAATATCATGCTGTTCTCCACAAAGAGTGGCCTTCCATCTACAAATATTCCAGAGAGCCCTTGATTAATCCATCCCAAGTAGTACATGGCTAACGTTCCAATCAGCTTAGGATGGCTCCTATCTCGTTCAGTCTAGAGCAGTGGTTCTCAACCTTGACTGCACATTAGAATCACCTGGGAATCTTTTTAAATCCTGATTTCTGGGCCTCAGGGATGATTCTAATGTGCAGCCAAGGTTGAGAACCACTGGTCTAGAGAATGCTCAGAACCACGTATATTTAGGGTAATTCATTTCACCAGAGCATACTAGAAAAGGAACTAAAACTATAGAGGACTTCATGATTGTTATGAAACTCACCGTTGATGAGCTGAAGGGAGCCAGGATCTGGATTCAAAGAGGAGTTGCCCAGCAAAAAATTGTGATGCAGTGTCTCAGCAATATAATCTCTGAAGTTACTAATTGTATAAACGGCAGTGGGCTTATCATCCAATTCCACAAGACCATGGTTTTCCACCTTGTTGGAGTGAAGGCTGATTAGGTCCCAGGTGGTATTGCTGATGGCCTCTCCGTTGAAAGTAACTGCATAGTGAACATCTGTGCCACTATGGATGAAAAGAGAGAACAGATGAGGACCTGCTAAGGAAGCACAAAAGAAGGACTATGAACCCAGGAGAACAAGCATTAGACCTAGAGGGAGAGTCTCAGAAAGCATGGTTTCCATCACCATTCTGTAGGAGCAAAATGATTCCCAAATCAGAGCATAAAAATAAATTAAATCCTTCCTCTTAACTTACTTATACATCCTTATATGTTCCTTGATTATAGCCTTTGTTGTTTTGTATAAAGATTTTGTTTACAGTGACTGCCTTTCAGTTTCTTCTTGAGTTTCTATCCCCAATGTTCAGCATGGTACCTGGGAAAGAGGGGTACCCAGTGCCTACTAAATGAACAGAAATCTATAGTCATACTATATAATAAAAGGCTAATATGCAAATCAACCAAACGGTGGAATGACTGATCGCTATGATGCACACTGACCACCAAGGGCAGATGCTCAATGCAAGAGCTGCCCCCTGGTGGTCAATGCACTCCCACAGGGGGAGCGCTGCTCAGCCAGAAGCTGGGCTCACGGCTGGAGAGCAAAGTGGTGGTGGCGGAGGCCTCTCCCTCCGCTGCAGGCGGGCAGTAAGGAGCGAGGGGTCCCAAACTGCAAGAGCCCCGGACTGCGAGAGGGATCCTGGACTGCGAGAGGACACAGGCTGGGCTGAGGGACCCCTCCAGTGCACGAATCTCATGCACCAGGCCTCTAGTCTGAATATAAAAAGAGAACTGCATCCTAATCGAGGTATTAACATATCTAAAGAAAAAGTATCAACATAATGACAATGGTCTCATGAAGTCAAGGAAAAAGGGAATTAGTCAATTAACTTGTGTTACTATTGAGGAGAATTCTTCTCACCAGTGTATTGTGGCTTCCTCAGAAGACAGATCCCTAGGCTGCAGACAGCTACAATAGGCTGGCATGGCTTGATGATACTGGCCACTAAAATCACCAACTTCCTTTTCCAGATTTCAAGTTTGCAAAGGAAACTTTTGATTATAACTTCCTACATATGCTCCTATAGAAAAAGAATGCATGAGCCAGCCAATGCAATAATTGGTCAATTGGCAGATATATTTCTCATTTTAAATACATCAGCTGGCATCCTAGAGAATGCAGTGTGTTTTGTGGTTTGGTAAGCATGAATTGGTCTTAAGAGACCTCTCCTTCGGAGCCCTGGCGGTGCAGGACCTGTCTGCGGCCTGCTTGCTGCAGAGCACATCCTGGACTGCAGGGGATGCCATGAAGGTGACATCCTTCCCTGCCATTCAAGCAGCCAGGCCTCTTTGAACTTCTCACTCTGAGTAACTTCAGTGAGGTTTCCTCCCAATAAGCTGCCGCCTCCAATGGGGTGGTTTGGGCACTTTAACATGGTGACTGAGCACTTTGACACCTGATGCTCTAAGTGGTGAGACATCTGCTTGTCATCTAGCATCCCTCAACCACTTAATTTTCCCCATGTCAGAATATGTTGATTCAAGGGTAATTCCTGATCTTTTTCGTAAAGAAATAACTTCAGTAAAATATATTAAAATAACCAAAGGATGGCTCCAAGGTGGAATAAAACAGTAAGAGGGACACCTACTGGTCAGAACTCACTACACCATATGTGTCCCAAGCATCTAGCAAAATGCCTGGCTTATAGTAATTCAATAAATATATTTGAAAGTAATGAAAAAAACAAATGGTCAATTGTATTCACTAATATAAGCAAATAAATGACAGTATGTGATACTCCTGACTTAATCCAAAGGATTTTCGGTCTCTAAATAGGATTAATTTTTTACCCTAAAAAGCATACGTATTACCTTCATACAAGTGTGTTGTGAGTAATCACCTGGGGGCATTGCTCACAGCCAGAGCACAGCGCTGTGAGAATGTGCACACTCTCCCAAGCTCAGTGGAATGGACCACGCCCACATCTCCAGAAAGATGAGCTTCTCTTTGGGGTCTTTGCACAACATATTAACATGTTATCATGGCTCTAGGACAGGAAAAAGTGACAAGGGGAAAATGGAGAAGATAGTAAAGGCTGAACCGGTTAGCACTTGAGTTGGTTTCTGGGCTACAAGAAAATCAGAGAAGGAGAAGCAAGCCTTTATTAGGAGCCTATGATATGCCTTGCATGACTTATAAATATCATATGGAGAAGATCAAGAGAAATATTCCTGCATCAAGAAATCTATGCAAATCAGGCAGTCTAGGTTAGATTACTAGCCTAACTTTTTATTGGCAAAATTTGTTTCCCAAATGTTTCCCTTGAACATCTAAAAAGAACATTTCTATTATAATCTACCAGATCTAGTGAGGATAAATTCATTAAAGAAGATAAAATCCTCAGAGAGATGCTACAATTTATTACCATGTTTTTATCCTGGAAAGAGAACTCAAAGACAGGCTTGAAATATGAGGAAACCATCTATTCTCAGAGCCAGGAACTTTCCTATGACCCAGAACAGACTGAGTTCCGGCGTGGCAAAGGGAGCACGGAGATTTCTCATGATGAGGGACAGACTGAAAGAGCCAAAAGCAGTATCTGACTGAAGAAGGCTCTGCTGGCTCTCGGCGCTAACAACTCCAAGGAACCAACCACCATCATCCTTCATCTTCCAACCTAGACTGAATCAGCTGCTTCCAAGAGGAAAGTTTCTCTGTCTGACAGCTATTTCCAGAGATTTGAATCACGTGGAGGTGAAATTTTCCCTTTCTCATTCTCTCACCTCAAATGCCCTTGTTGGCTGTTTGACATGTGCAGATTTTAAATAGAAAAAATAATGCAATCACATCTCATTAAGGTCACCAAAATAAAGATTTTTCAGAGAAACTTAGATATCCTTTCTTTTATAAAACTTCTATTAGTAAGAAGATGCACACTTATGAAGTCTGGAGCTGAATATTTGAAGTGTGTACACCAGGCAAATATTTTGTTGATTCACTTCAAATGAGTCCTACCAACTTAAAATAATGTGTGCGTCTTGAAAGGGGTACGAAGCAAATAGAAATTTCATGTGCATGTAAATGTTTATGTTTATAATATTTTGTTATGTTTATAACATGTAACATTTATACATGTTTATAAAGAGATTATATATCATATAAATACACTATTTCTGCACCACACTTTTACTCATACACAGCTCAGAATAAAAGTATACTGAACAGTTACGAATAAATGTCATTAACTACCTAACACTTGACAATTTTGGAAACTGCCCCTAAGTTAACAATTTTATCATAAAACCTAATGGCTTCATATTGAATTGTTGTCTGTATCCCTAGAGAGAACTTAGCACTCAGCAACCATTCTTTTGGTCATAGGGTAACATCAGAGTTTGGGTTGTTTTAAATTCTAATCACCCATAATCAGGCTTTTCAGTTGAGTACAAATAATCAACAAATGTGCCTATAACAAACACACACACAGCAATTTACACATACTCAGTACAGAAACCCACATTCTGATTCCCTTAGTCAAAATATCAGATATACAGTCATGTAACATATGGCAAATCAATTTGCCTTCCTGAGGCAAAATTTCCTCAGCACCAAAATAGAATGAGTATTAATTCTCATTTTCACTATCTCACAGGGATACAAGAGAGTTAGATGAAAAAAAATGATAGAACCAGTACTTTGACATATCTCTAAAAGTGCTTTTCATTAGACTGTGTTCCTAGAGAGTGGAGACCAACAGTCACTAATTTTTGTAGACACAGGGTTTACCTAATTTGTAGGCACGTATTAATACTTTCTAAAATGATATAAATGAAAATTAGGAAGTTAAAGTGCCCTCTCCAAATATAAGGTATTAATTACAATGAAGGAGTATTACTGTATCTCTAAACATGCCCACATTTAGCCTATGAATATACTTCATAAATTCTAGATTATACTTGTCAATCTTCCAAGAGAAAGTGAATGTTCAATAAATATGGAACCCAAAGGCAAAAAATGACAAGCAACCTTCACAAGGGGTATTGACTATGCTTTTTTTATTATTACACATGTGTCCTCTAAGAAATTCTAGAGAGCAGCTGTTTTTGCAAATGAACTCTTATAGAGATCTGCTTTCTTCCCTTCATTTACCACTTTAAAGTGACACTCGATTATATTATTGGATGCATAGAATACTTGAAAGTATTAAATTAATGCAAGTTTTTATTCCTATTTTAAATTAAGTATCTCCATACTGAGTGCGGCAGGAATAGGTTTACAGTTGTCCATATGAAAATAATGCCATAATTAATGAATAATAATAATACAAGAATAAACTCTGTTTCACATACAACTATAAACCTACTTTTTCCCCACCCTCTTTTTGTTTTTTAATCCTCACCTGAGGATATTTTCTCTATTGATTTCTAGGGGAGTGGAAGGGAGGGAGGAGAGAGAGATGCAGAGAGAGAGAGACATCAATTGGTTGCCTCCCATTTGCACCCCTACTGGGGCTGGGGAACATGCAACCAGGAATCAAACCCAAGACCCTTCAGTCCAAGGGCCAACACTCTAACAAACCAGCCAGGGCATTCCCTCTATTTAAAAGTACTTGTCAGTATTCAGTCTATAACAGAGGTCTGTAAACTACTGCCTGCAAGCTACATCCAGCCTACTGTCACTGAATTAACAGATCGTATGTTTTTAAATGGTTGAAAAAAATCAAAAGACCAATATTTTGTGACATGTGAAAATTATATGAAATTTATATTTCAGTGTCCATAAATTAAGATATATTAAAACACAGCCACACTTACTTGTTTTCAATATCTCGCCAATATCTACTTTCATCTGATAGTAGCAGAGATGAGTAGCTGCCAATGGAGACCATATGGCCTAAAAAGTTTTAAATATTTACTATCTAAGCCTTAACAGAAAACTTTTGTTAACCCCTGATCTGTACAGAGATGGACACTGATACTGGAAATCATAAGAGAATTGAGCTATGCTCCCTTAAACCTAGGTCTACCACATTTTCTAAACTAACTCCTCATTCATTCGAAAGTACAGAAAGTACTAAAAAGTACCTTACCTGCCATTTTCCTTGGGGGGCCTGGGGAAAAAAAAAGTGTTAAGCACAATTTTAAAATTGTATTTGTCACATCATTCATCAAAGTACAAGTTCTTAATATATTTCCTCTGAAATGTTTCTTTAAGTGAAAATGCTTGCATAGTATCAGAAGCTGACAAATTCCTGTGGATTGAAGGAAGCGAGAAAGGAGGAGAAAGTGTTCCATTTTAAAAGTCTTTACTATCTTTAAACTTTATTAAATACTTTTAAAAGAGTTCATATAAGGTTATCTCTTTATAAATAAACTTTTTCAGTCGGTCAACAGGGGACTCCAGTAGTTGGCATTAACAAAACTAGGAACACTGTTGGGGAGATGCGATGTGCTGTGTAGTATTGAAATCAATGAAAACCAAATCAGGCAACATACAGTAAGGCGCTAAGAGGCTGGGAAAGGTCAGGACTGACTGACTTATAGGATAGTGCCTTTAATATTTATTGACTTTATGTAACAGACACTATTAAGTTCTATTAAGAATTTCCCATGTGCCGGGAACTACGCTAAGCATTTTGCAAAAGTTATTTCAATTAATCCTCATTAAGATTTATTAAGGATCATTAGTACCCCCATTTTACAGGTCAAGAAGCTGAGGAACAAAAAAGCCTAAATCATTTAAAGTATTTCAAAAGTATTATTTAATAAAGCAGGATTAATAGGTAAATTGTCTTTTTTATGTAAATGAGAAGTTAAGACTTGGTAATTTACCCAAAACCATCCAGCCAGAAGTGCCAAAGGCAGGGTTTGCACTCAGGAACATTGACTCCGAAGGCTACGTTGCCTTCCCTGTGCTGCCAAGTGAGGGGATCCCCAAGGCCTCATGTTCTCAGGGGAGCTTTAGGCACATCTGGAGGTGGTAGTCTGTGAAAAAGCACTAAGGTTCTAGTGGAGAGACTGGTTGTGGTGTGAGGATAGATGGAAGGTCAATTTATCATGCTTGCCCTCTGCCCTGCACCAATAATAGCTGAGTGTCCTCAGGCAAACTATGTAAATTTCCTGGGCTCTGTTTTACATATCAGGAACAACGGGGGTAATAACTATCTCATAGCATGGCTGTTGGGGTTAAATGAATTAATATAGATAGACAGCCTGGTACACTGTAAATGCTATGTGAGTGATTGCTGTAATTTCTGGTAAACCCAGAAGCTGTGACAAGACTATGCCACAGTTAAGATGTTGACCCTGTTAATGATGCTGCAAGGTGACCCAGTGCCCCTGCTCAGAGTCCACTGCACCCACTGCTGGGCCACAGCAATCCCCCAGAGGCTCCAACCTTCAAAGTGCTGGATCTGGAATGGAGGTTCAGACAGACACTTAGCTTCAAATTTACAAGCTAATTCACCGGTTCTCTGACTCTGGGCTAAAACTTCATCCCTTTAAACATGTTTGCTGCTCTGTGAAATGAGTATTGATAATAATATGCATTCTGAGGGGGGTGGAGATTAAGTGGGCTCAGGAGATGAGGTGCCTAATACAAAGTACTCACTCAATAAACATCACCAGTGTCATGCAGTGGGTCTGAGCAGGGAAGAAATGCCTCCAAAGAGGTCTCTGACTCACAACTGTCATGTTTGAAAAGAAGGTGAGTGCATAGTGGCCTTACACCAAGACACCACTCACCTCAATGAGACCTGGACAAGCTTTAGTCGGACCTGGAGGTCACATCTAATCTGACGTCAGGCTCCCCTCGGTGCCAAATAAAAGCAGTGCAACATGCCGGCAGCAAGCGGGGGACATGACTTCCCAATTCTTACCCTGGCCCCACTACAGATCCAGTATGTCCCTTGAGTACATTATTTGCCTTTTTGTAATTCAGTTTCCTCACCTGAAATACTAACAATAGGAATATACATTTGCTAGAAATAGCACTGAATGACAGCATTTGAGTCATTTTAAATTATTGTTGTGTATGTAACATACCCAACAGGATAGTCCACTTAAAATAAAGAGTGCATTTTTAAAGTCTATTTACCTGAAGTCAAGTACACGGATGTCCTTATAGCCCGGCAACCCAGTAAATGCATTTTCAATCTGTTAAAAATAAAATTTATAAATAGGTAGAAATGTGGGAAAGGATGCAGAAAATAATGCTTTTAGGAGTAGAATATAAAGTGTACCCTCTACTATTGAAGCTTGAATGCATACACAGAAACACATGGATCAGAAAATTACTAAGAAAATAATAGTTACAATGTTAGAAAATAGTATTTACCACAACACTGATAGGTTTTTCTTTTTCATTTTGTCTTTTAAGGTTCTAATGTGCTATAATATTAATTTTTCTTCAAATTGTAAAGGGCATACTTCTCATTGGCAATTACTGTTCTTTCCCCTATGTGATGAAACGTGAAAAAGAACATTAGTTGCCCAAGGAGCTGTAACAGCATTTTTAAATGTAGTGTTTGGATAGGGAGTCTGGCTACAGCACACAGAGTGACAGTCAGGCGTTCATTTCTGAAAAGTGTCTGGTGGTGTCTGTTTCTTATTCCTACAACACAAGGGAACTGTGGACACAGTCAACATTAGGAAGAAACCTATAGGTCTGGGCTTACCGCCCAGAAGGGAGGCCTTGTTCACTGGTTGTCGCAGAGATGATGAAGCAGTGGCCAGTAAGTTAACTGGACCAAAGATCAATTTATGAGCATCACATCAGTGGGTACCAGTTTTATTTCTGCGTCTGTAATGTCCCACCATGTAAAACAGTACTTGCTTAGTGACTGGAGCAGGGAAAAGAGAATTCTAGACTGGACTAAATAGCTAAAAATAATCAAGTTATACACAAATACCAAATGTTTAACAAGATTTAACATTTAACCCACCACATTTCAGAAGATGCAATCTGACCAGGTAAGTCACGATGGAGCTCACACCAGAAGTAGGGAAGGAAGTTGTCAGCGGACTTGGGAACTCTGTTAGTGGATCTCTGATTTTAAAACCAAGTCCTTGTATAATCAGTAGAGTGAAATTTGTTTAAAGTTTTGGTTCAAAATAAAACAAACTCATAGGTACAGAGAACAAATTGATGGTTGCCAGATGGGAGGGGGGTTGGGTGGCTAGGTGAAAAAGGTGAAGGGATTTAAAGTCCAACTTTGTAGTTACAGAATAATCACAGGGATATACAGCATAGGGAATATAGTCAATAATACTGCAATAACTACATATGGTTACTAGACTCATCAAATAATCACTTTGTAAGTTATACAAATGTCTAACCATTATGCTGGGCAGCTGAAATTAATATAATATTGAATGCCAACTGTAATTGAAAGAAATTAACAAAAAAACAAACAAATAAATCTTGGTTCACTGAAGATCTTCATGCCTTAAGGATACAGAATCCAAATACATGATAATAATAGTTTGCCTTGTTTTATTCTCTGAGAAGAAAGAGAGTTGTGTTATAATTCTTAGAGGATGGGGTGTAGATGGGATCCCAAGACAAGGAATCTTAGACTGAGGGATAAGTCCCAGCTGCTTTAGCTGGCAAAGTGGTCATGCATGTCTCTTTTATAGAATTAATACTGCCCTGCTCACCAACCACATCAGTTTCTATAAGATTAAAAGGAATGTAGCTGAAAGTACTCTATTAACTGCAAAATGCTATTTACAGTAATTGCATATTTTTATTATTACTAAACCCATCCTTTGGGGGGCTTTGCCATCTCTTGAGTATAAATACATACAGATATTTTAATTCATCATATCCAGTTAATTACTGTACAGGTGTTCAGGTGTAAGAAGTCATTTTACTTGACTAACATCAAGATTAATAATAGATACAATGTATTGAGTGACTGCTATATGCCTGATTTTACAATATTACTTCTGATCTTGCAACAATCCCAAGAGGTACATGTTTTCCCAATTTTATAGATGAGAAAACTGAGACTCTGAGATGTCAACTCACTTAGCCAGGGTCATGCATTTGGTGAATGACTGAATCCGAACTTATTCAGCCCCAAATCTCTCCAACACCAAATCCTATATTCTTCCCATTGAATTGCATGCCTCTTCCTCTTTCCCCTGACTCATAATAAATACGGTTTAGAACCAGGACCAGGACTGGGGAAACTGGGCAGCTCACCACAAGTTCTTACCTGAATTAAAATAAGGGGACTCTGTGTGACATAAAGGGAGGAACACTTTGAAAGGAAAGAGGAGACCTGATTTCCCCTTCTACTCCAGGGGCTGAAATGACCAGGAACCAGTTACCAGTCCTCCTGGGCCTCATCTATAGATGGATGCTGTTACCCACATGGTTTCTGTGAGCAGCCAGACATCCTGCAGCCTACAGAACTCAAAGCAGTGTGCAAGGACCCTGGGTTGATACTGTAGCGATCTTCAAGCCTGACCTTTCCCTCTAATGTCATATTTGGCATTGTCCCAACTTTATCTTCCTCTTACTCTTCTCATCAAAAAAATATATTTTTTTTTTCCCTCAATCCCCCAAGCAGGCTTTTATTCCCCCATGTGTCTTCCAATATTGGCTAAGAAACAATAGTGAAGGAACAATTCCTGTGACTGTGCCTACAGGGAGAGAGTTGGAGGGCCTTCTTCAGTTTGTAGTAAACATGGTGACAAGACCTTTCAGAGCCTCACCCCAGACCCCACTAAGATGGCCCAGCAGTAGATGTTTTGTTCCAAGTACAGGGACAGGAATGTAGAGACAGGCCAGAGAAGGAACTGTTGCACAGCAGGCCCCAGCCCTTCGTTACCTTCAAACCACCTCAAGCCAACAGCTCCCTGCCTCATAAAGTCCCTGCAGGAGATGGTTTTCAGAGTGTTTATTAGCCTGTCCTAAATATGCAGCCATTCAGAATATTTGTTTACCCAAACACGGAGGCTTATTAAAGGTTCTTTTACCCACGGGCAGAGAGACCCAGACAGCCGATCCAAGACACGATCTGACACAAGGTGGCCGCTGGCCTGGCTGACATTTCTTCCACATGCCGTACAGCCTCCCAACTTGGCCACACAGCTAGGAAAATTAACTGTCTGGCCTACACTCCCCATGTCTGATGGCTGCGATGATGCTGTTTGGCTGAGAGGTGCATATTTTTATTTCTCATCTAGACACAGTGTCTAGGGAAGGAAATTAGTCCGAGGTGATGGAATTGAAAAATGTGGCCAAGAAGAAACCCATCGAGAGGGAATGGAAAAGAAATAAACAGGAAGGAATGGTGTGCCCCGTAATTGGAGAGAGAGGACGATGGGCACTTACTACACGAGAGCAAAGGCATGCAGGGGACAAGGTGGGTCATTTTCGACTGAAGGAACCTTGAGTTCAAGTTCCATATAGAATTCTTCCAGGAAGGAAAAAAATCATGAGGTGATCTATTGCCTGATTTTTTAAAGAAACCCTTTATTAAAAATACCTACTCCCAAGGAACAGAGGTAGAAGGGACATTGACTGATCACTGGATGCCGTTTTGTCCTTTGAACTTGGTACCATGTCTTACCAGTTTGAACAGTGTGAACTGTTCAAAATTTTTCAATTTAAAAAAGTAGAACTGAGTATGAAAATTAAAGAAATTAAATATGTTTCGCAAAGAAAAACAACACATTGTATGTAGTTCCTCAAAGAGGCTCATTTTTCACAGGACACAGTCTGCCTTGGCTTTGCAGCAAATGTTGGAAATAGCATTTATTTGTTAGATAGCAAATGTGTGAAGATTTTGTTTCAATGAAATAACCCATCTGTCTTTCAGTGAACTTTCCACAGAGCTTTCTGAAGACATTGCTAAGTCATCACCCCCGAACAAAGCAGATGGAGAGCTTGAATCCAAAAGCTACTTCTAAGCATTGTGGTGAATATGGGACATTTACCCCAGAAAACTGTCTTGCTTATTTAAAAAATGAATAAAAACAAACAAAAATCACTCACCTCTGCGATAAACTCTTCTACAAGGCTCTGGTGGTGGAAGCTAGCGGGATCCCGTAGTTCTTCCCTGTATTGCTCCCCCAAAAGGTGGATACTGAATTCTGCAATCTGCTCAGCTGCTGGTTTTGTGGATTCTTCTATCACAGTCTCAATTTCATTGCTAATCTGAATGTTTAGGAAAAGAACAATAAATGTCAATCTTTACTCATTCAATCAACAAAAATGTATTGATTGTCTACTATATGCCAGATACTATGCCAAAGGCAATTTCTAATGATGCTCTTCTATATAGTGTTTGAATTTGGAACTAATTGGGTAAACTTTCAGACATAGGTTAATATTAAAATTGCTGTGCATTTGTACATTCCTTTGAACACACAATGATTAGTTCAGGGAAAGATAGAACATATTTCAAAGATAACCACCAAATTTGACCATTTGTGAGTTAAAACAGAGTTTACTGTGCTAAAATTATCATCTAGAAATAGCTTAGAAGCTTGTTTCTGAACATTGTTTATATTTTTACAAATTCTTTAATGTCTGGCTTAACGATGACAGCTGGATTCTCAAATCTGTTTCTGCATTAACCCTTTGCGGTCCAATGTTATTTTTGGAATTCAAACAGTCTGGTCCAAATTAATTGACGGGATTGAATGTTGAACTTTTTAATGTTCTTATTGCTCGACGTTGGACCTGCTCCTAGCGCCTGGTCTGTCAAGTCAGCCTCAAGGTTGGACCGAAAAGAGTTAATCAGTTCCAATATTTTGTTTTAGTTTAAGTATGTGAAGAAAATCTAGCCATACAGATAAGTATGCAGAAGGAAGGAATATATTAACAGCCTTTTCAGGTAATTGTGGATTTCTTTCTAAATACTACACCAAGGTCAAGAGGTGGTAGTTTCCTTTATTTTTTTTTAATATGTTTTTATTTTTCAGAGAGAGGAAGGGAGAGAAAGAGAGAGATATAGAAACATCAATGATGAGAGAGAATCATTGATTGGCTGACTCCTGCATGTCCCTTCTGGGGACTGAGCCCACAACCCGGGCATGTGCCCTTACTAGGAATCAAACCGTGACCTCCTGGTTCATAGGTTGACGATCAACCACAGAACCACACCAGCAGGAAAGAGGTGGTAGTTTCTTAATTGTTAATTGCTATATGGAATCTGAAACCATATCACCAAACTTTTTGTACTATGTATCATTAGAACCCAGGTTTTCCAGTGGCCAAGGCTGGAATAATTAGAGTGACAAAATGAGTACTGAATTATAATCCAAATAATAAAATGAACATTTATGAGTCCAGCCCTAGCCTGTTTGGCTCAGTGGATAGAGTGTTGGACCCCCGGACTGAAGGGCCCTGGGTTCAATTCCAGTCACGGGCACATGCCCAGGTTGCAGGCTCAATCCCCAGTGGGGGTTGGGGGGACGGCATGCAGGAGGTAGCCAATGAATGATTCTCTCTCATCATTGATGTTTCTACCTCTCTTTTCATCTCTGAAATAAATATATATTTTTTTAAAAAATTCATGAGTCCATGCTAATGTGATTTAATAAATAAATCTGAGAGAAGTGACAATAGTTTCTTAAAAAAGAATTCCAGAAAAACAGCTTTATTGGGGGAACCAAGATGGCGGCATAGGTTAACGCCGGAGTTTGCTGCTTTGAACAACTACTTCAAAAGTGAAACCAAAAAACGGAAGGGACATCACCCAGAACCACAGGAACGCTGGCTGAGTGGAAGTCCTACAACTAGGAGGAAAGAGAAACGCATACGGACACTCAGAGGAGGCGCAGTGCTGAAGTCAAATTCTGAGGTGCGGAGTGCGCGGAGCGGGCTGGCGGCGGAGGGCGCGGTTGGCGTTTTCAATCTGGAGGGAGTCGCAGACTCTGAGCTCCAGATCCGGGCGAGTCTCTAGGGACCCAGACTCAAACGGGAGAAGCGGGACTGTCTGGCTTGGGTCAGAGCGAGTGCAGCTTTCTCTCTGAGCTTTGCAGCGGGTGCTGGGACTCAGAGAGGCAGAGCCCCCGGGGACAGGACTGAGAGCCGCCATAACTGCTCTCTCCGACCCACCCTGTTGATCCTGTGCGACCCGCCCCGCCCAAGCCCTGCACAGAGGCATTTGCTGGATAGCCTCAGGCAAAGGCTAGATTAGCACCTCCCTAGAGGACAGAAGTTCTCTCACTGCTGACACAGCTGATTCTCATAGCCACTTGGCCTGGAGGTCAAACCCTCCCTGGTATTAGCTACAACAAGGTTTAACTATAAGACTGCGAACAAAGACCACGAGGGGGTGCACCAAGGAAGCACAACAAAATGCGGAGACAAAGAAACAGGACAAAATTGTCAATGGAAGATATAGAGTTCAGAACCACACTTTTAAGGTCTCTCAAGAACTGTTTAGAAGCCGCCGATAAACTTAATGAGATCTACAAGAAAACTAATGAGACCCTCGATGTTATATTGGGGAACCAACTAGAAATTAAGCATACACGGACTGAAATAACGAATATTATACAGACTCCCGACAGCAGACCAGAGGAGCGCAAGAATCAAGTCAATGATTGGAAATGCGAGGAAGCAAAAAACACCCAACCGGAAAAGCAAAATGAAAAAAGAATCCAAAAATGCAAGGATAGTGTAAGGAGCCTCTGGGACAGCTTCAAGCGTACCAACATCAGAATTATAGGGGTGCCAGAAGATGAGAGAGAGCAAGATATTGAAAACCTATTTGAAGAAATAATGACAGAAAACTTCCCCCACCTGGTGAAAGAAATGGACTTACAGGTCCAAGAAGCGCGGAGAACCCCAAACAAAAGGAATCCAAAGAGGACCACACCAAGACACATCATAATTAAAATGCCAAGAGCAAAAGACAAAGAGAGAATCTTAAAAACAGCAAGAGAAAGAAACTCAGTTACCTACAAGGGAATACCCATACGACTGTCAGCTGATTTCTCAACAGAAACTTTGCAGGCCAGAAGGGAGTGGCAAGAAATATTCAAAGTGATGAATACCAAGAACCTACAACCAAGATTACTTTATCCAGCAAAGCTATCATTCAGAATTGAAGGTCAGATAAAGAGCTTCACAGATAAGGAAAAGCTAAAGGAGTTCATCACCACCAAACCAGGATTATATGAAATGCTGAAAGGTATCCTTTAAGAAGAGGAAGAGGAAGAAAAAGGTAAAGATACAAATTATGAACAACAAATATGCATCTATCAACAAGTGAATCTAAGAATCAAGTGAATAAATAATCTGATGAACAGAATGAACTGTTGATTATAATAGAATCAGGGACATAGAAAGGGAATGGACTGACTATTCCTGGGGGGGAAAGGGGTGTGGGAGATGCGGGAAGAGACTGGACAAAAATCGTGCACCTATGGATGAGGACAGTGGGTGGGAGTGAGGGTGGAGGGTGGGGCGGGAACTGGGATGAGGGGAGTTATGGGGGGAAAAAAAAAAGAGGAACAAATGTAATAATCTGAACAATAAAGATTTAAATTAAAAAAAATTAAAAAAAAATAAAAATCAAAAATCAAAAAAAAAAAAAAGAATTCCAATTAATAAATGCAGAAGGAATGAGGAGACTAGAAATCACTACTAGAACATACAGTAATAATTGCTTAAGCTCATCTAATACAAGTCCCTCCATTTGATACACAAGAAAACCAGGGATTGGAATGGAAGAATGGCTAGCCTGCGGGCTCACAGCCAATGGGAGAGTCAGGAAGAGAACACAAGGGCTTCATCACTGTGCCATTTCATCTCTGATGGATCACATAATCAGCGACTTTCAAAACTTTAGAAGATCCCACCATGGCTTCTGATGCTTGAATTCTCTCCACACTATCCCTGACAACAGGCTGCTCATCCTCAATTTCAATGGCTCTGATGAGAAAGAGTCATGACCTTCAAAGGCAGACCATTGCATTTCCAAAAGAAGCTCTCATGGTTATAATGTTTTCAATATTAAACCCAAATTTATTTTCCTGTAAGTGTTAACCATTGATCCCAGTTCTATAACCTGGGACACCTATAAACACTGTGGTCACCAGAGAGCCCTTCAAATAAATACAGGCAGCCATCATGTCTTTCCTGACTTCTCGCTGGTTCCTCTCCTGCAGACACCTCTCAGGCTTGTATGTCTTCCTCACAGTGTGGCACACACCAATGAGGCCCAATGACCACTTCCCTTGTGATAGATTCTATATCTGTATTATACAACCCAAAATCACACTACCTTTTACTAGGTGATTCTCCCCCCGGAACTGCATCATACTGCTGATTCATACTGAGAGTAACACCAACACAAACTCTTAGTCTTAAATGGAATTTTGTACAAGACTTTGCATTTTTCCATCTTAAATTTTACCTCACTAGATTTGGGCAGAAACTTCCACTTCCAGTATTATTTTAAAAGACATATGCTTAGTAACCTTACTGCTACATAATGCCTAAAATGCTGAATAAGTATATTTAATGTTTTGAAAGCATAGCTCATTTGCAAGAAAGAAATCCCCAATAGGTCAATAAAGATTAGAGGAATCCAGGGAGGTGATTGAGTGTTGTTTGTGTACATGGTGTAGCTGCTGATCCCTTGAGGCCTCAGCTTTAGTTTTACCTTTTATCACAAAGTGGAAGGTCTGCACATGTTTAAAATCAGACCAAAGACTCTCACATAAAGTAAGGATTCTAAAAGCTCTATAGACAGTTTGAAACAAATTAGACTAAGTTGAAGGGAGAATTAATGAACTGAAAGATGTATTTGAAAGCAAAACAGAAAGATGAAGAAATTAAAGTTATTAGAGAAATAAACATGAGAAATAAAATGAGGTCAGACAGATATAATCATAAGGGATAACAGCTGAGAATTTCTTTTATAACCATTTTTGTGAAACTGCAGAATCCCAAATACTGTATAGTATTTTACATATATATAGTATATGGGATATACAGAATTAGGGATTTTGCAGTTTTACAAAAATGGATATAGATGTATATTTATGTTTACTTATTTTGCTTTGGATTTGTTGTATTTCCTTATTGTAAGGCTTTATGTCTATCATACATTCTGAGAAATTCTCAGCTGTTATCTCTTGTGATATATATATATATATATATATATATATATATATATATATACACACACACACACA